ATGGCAAACCCTGTAATTACTTTTTCTTTTCTAAAAATTATTTATTATACTTTAAGTTCTGGGGTACATGTGCAGAACATGTAGGTTTGTTACATAGGTATATGTGTGCCATGGTGGTTTGCTGCATCCATCACCCTGTCATCTACATTAGGTATTTCTCCTAATGCTATCCCTCCCCAATCACCGCCCCCCGCTATCCCTCCCCTAGCCCTCCATGCTCCAACAGGCCCCAGTGATGTTCCCCTCCCTATGTCCATGTGTTCTCATTGTTCAACACCCACTTATGAGTGAGAACATGACCCAAAATGACTTCTGCACCAATATAATAGATTGGGCCCACCTGCATAATCCAGGAGCATCTCCCCATCTCCAGATCCATGGGACCTTAGTCACATCTGCAAATCCTCTTTGCTGTAAGGTAACATACTCACAAGTGCTGGGGATTAGCATATGGACATCTTTGGGGGGCTATTCCTCTGCTCTCCTGTACCCCTTCTTGCCTCCCATGGATATAGTGGCATTTTCTCTCCTGCCATCAGAAGGAATTGAACTTCAAGCTCATAGTGGTCACCTCCTGGCCACCCCAGTCTTCTATTAGCCTAGCCATCATCCTGGCCAAAACCTCCTTTGAGATGGACTCTCACTCTGTCACCCCAGGCTGGAGTGCAGTGGCACCATCTTGGCTCGCTGCAACCTCTGTCTCCTGGGTTCAAGTAATTATCGTGCCTCACCCTCCCAAGTAGCTAGGATTACTGGCATGCCACTATACCTGGCTATTTTTTTTTTTTTTCCGAGACAAGAGTTTCGCTCTTGTTACCCAAGCTGGAGTGCAATGGTGCGATCTCGGCTCACCGCAACCTCCGCCTCCTGGGTTCAGGCAATTCTCCTGCCTCGGCCTCCTGAGTAGCTGGGATTACAGGCACCTGCCAGCATGCCCAGCTAATTTTTTTGTATTTTTAGTAGAGACGGGGTTTCACAATATTGACCAGGATGGTCTCGATCTCTTGACCTCGTGATCCACCCTCCTCGGCCTCCCAAAGTGCTGGGATTACAGGTGTGAGCCACTGCACCTGGCCAAAGGCCTTTTTACCTTGCTCTTTCAACTTTGGGATCTTTTCCCTTCTGGCCAGGACTTCAGTTAAGCCAGCCCTTTGTTAGCCTGTTTCTCCTGGCAGAGCCTTGGCAAAGGATCTCATTTTGTAACCACTCCTGCCCCCAAACTGAGCTTTTCCCCGTTTCCTGCTGATAACTCCCTGCCCCACCAACTGGAGCCCCACATCCTCATTCCCTCAGGAACATGACGAGTTCCCCTCTGCAATTCCCAGCCTGACCCTACAACCAAGGGACAGTGGCTTGGATATGGCACCTCTTTGAAGAACTCCATCTGAGATGAGCGTGCCGGACACCGTTGCTTGGATGGGACCGTCTCAATTGGGCTGAGTTGCTGGGATCCTCACTTCCTGCTCTCCTTGCCAGATTCTTCCCTCCAGCTCTACACAGCACTCCAGGGTACCCAGCCCAACTCACATAGGGGAGTGCCAGGCAAGGGAGAGCTTCCTTCCTCACCTTTCCCTTGTCTGAGGTTTCTCCCAGGCACTGGTGCCAGTGAATGGAACCAAGGATTGATAGTGTCTTACCTCCTCAGTTCTAACCAAGCTGAGCTGGAAGGAGGAGCCTCGGGTCAGAGCAGTCGAAGCCCTCCAGCATGCAGGCTCCTTTTACCCACCACCTTGCCCCACTGGGGACCTCATTCGTGGTCTGTTGCTCAAACTGTTCTCAAACTCCCCCCTGGGTCATTGGCCACTCTCTGTGCATGGTCCTGCCTCTAATCATTGCTTCCTTCCTTTAATGTAAGTGGGGAGCTGGTTGCTAGGGTAACCGGGGTAGAAATACAGGTCTGGGGTCTTGACCTTGAACTCTGCTTAATTGGATTCTTGTTAGGTTCTTGGCTCATTTCCCTTTTGTGGTTGGGAGAATGCACATCCCTCCACATTTTTATCCTGGTATCTTCATATTTTGTTGCTCTCCTTTTTTGAAGTCTGTCTGGCCTATACATTTTCTCTGGAATTTGCTAACTCAATTGCTTTTGTTTCTTATAGCCAATGTTGGTGCCAAATTAAAAAAAAAATCAATTTGGCAAGAACACATAATGGATTGTGCTGCATGCTTTGTACTGTTTCATGCCTGGAGGCAGCCCATAGTTGTCTGTTTCTCTCCTGCTAACACTGAGATTAAATTGTAGATTTGGTGCTAGGAATGGTGGCTCATGCCTGTAATCCCAGCACTTCGAGAGTCTGAGGTGAGAGGATTGCTTGAGATCAGGAGTTTGAGACCAGCTTGGGCAACATAGTGAAATCCCACCTCTACAAACAAATTTTAAAAATTAGCCAGGTGTTGTGGTGTGTACCTGTGGTCCCAGCTACACAGGAGGCTGAGGTGGGAGGATTATTTGAGTCTGGGAGATTGAGGCTGCAGTGAGCTGTGGTTGTGCTACTATACACCAGCCTGGGTAACAGAGTGAGAACTTGTCTCAAAAATAAAAATAAAAAAACGCTGAGGGTTTGGGAGGTGACATTCCTCCACCCCATTATTTCACTGGTCATATCCCCATCATTTCATCTAATGGTTTCACCCATTGATAATCTCTGCCTAAATCATTTATTTCATCATAGGTTGCAAAATTGAAGCTATCCTCATAGGGTTAATGTGAATTCTGGACAGAAATATTGTTGTAATTAAGCATTATTCATGATGCACTTTGGTCCACTTCCTTGTAACTGAAAGTCAGGAGCATTAGATACCGACCATTTACATCCCATTGTTCCTGTAGATAGGATCTCTGACATTAGAATCATAAGGCTTCTGGCCGGGCACAGTGGCTCATGCCTGTAATCCCAACACTTTGGGAAGCTGAGGCGGGTGGATCACCTGAGCTCAGGAGTTTAAGAGCAGCCTGGGTAACATGGTGAAACCCATGGACCTCATAAAATACAAAAATCAGCTGGGTGTGGTGGTGTGTGCCTGTAGTCCCAACTCAGGAGGCTGAGGCAGGAGGATTGCCTGAGCCTGGGAGATGGAGGTTGCAGTGAGCTGAGATCACACCACTGCACTCCAACCTGGGTGGCACAGCTAGACCCTGCCTCAAAAAAAAAAAAAAAAGAAGAAGAAGAAGAAAAAATTATAAGGCTTCCGTTTAAGAATTGCTTAAGATGCTCTTCTGATCCTGAGTTCCATCAGAATAGCTGATGCCAACCAGTGTGACGACCTCAACAGAGGCAGAGTCAGTAGTACTTCAGAATACACTGTTCATCTCTCTGTCCCATGACTTCGCACTGCACTCTTCAACCCATCAACGATCTCCACTCTTTGGTACATTCCCAAGCCCTTAAAAACCCTAGCCCCCAACTCTTCGGGAGGCAGATTTGAGGTTTCTCCCATCTCCCCATCTGGCAGCCCTATACTTAAATCTCTTTGTCTGCCGAAACCTGGTGCCTCAGCCTATTGACTGCTGTGTGCATTGGGCAACAAACCTATTATGGTTACGAAATGATGATGTTCCTAATTTGTCATCTTTTAAACATGTATTAAATGGAATTCTTCCATTAAAAAAAAGAATAAGGTTTCCTCATCAGTTATGGCTGCTCTTTTAATCCTGAAATACAGTTTGTATAAGAAAGGCCAGGTTTACTTATGGCCTGTTCAGGGCCATTTGTTGCCAGTTTTCCGAGAAAGGGTTGGTGTCCTAGTTCCAATAGTGACCCATGACTACATGTTTCTTGATTACTGTGAACTTTGATTCTCTTTGCTCTTAATGAATTTAAATGTCTGCTGAGTGCTGAGAAGACATTGATGAGAAAGACTGAAATGGTCCTGTTCTGTCTTTGTGTGACTTTGAGTGGCTCACCTTGTTCTTTATGGTCTTGCTCATCATACACATCTCACTTGGCATATGTTGTCAACTGCCCTTCATTCTCCTTCCTTCCTTCCTTCCTTCTCCCCCCTCCCTCCCTCCCCCCTCCCTCCCTCCCTCCCTCCCTCCCTCCCTCCCTCCCTCCCTCCCTCCCTTCCTTCCTTCCTTCCTTCCTTCCTTCCTTCCTTCCTTCCTTCCTTCCTTCCTTCCAGACAGAGTCTTGCTTTGTTGCCCAGGCTGGAATACAGTGGCGCAATCTCAGTTCACTGTAACCTCTACCTCCTGGGCTCAAGTAATTCTGCTCCATCAGCCCCCTGGGTAGCTGGAATTACAGGTGCCCGCCATCACATCCAGCTAATTTTTGGTATTTTTAGTAGAGATGGGGTTTCACCATGTTAGCCAGGCTGGTCTCGAACTCCTGACCCCAAGTGATCCACCTGCCTTGGCCTCCCAAAGTGCTGGGATTATCGGCATGAGCCACCATGCCTGGCCTTTCATTTGTCTTTAAGGATTTAGGGCTATGTGTTCCAATTCCTCCAGCCAAGTGCCATGAGGATGCCGGCAGTGTTTTATAGTTTCCTTTTCCTTGTTACCTGCCTACGTATCTAGTGCAAATTTGGGCATCCAGAAGGCCCTGGTAACTAGTTGTAGACTGAGTAGATGTGTACTTAAAGTGGTCATTCTTTCATTAAATGTGTTTGTATTATTTAAAAAAATTATTTTTAATTATTTTTGCTTTTTCTTCTCATGCTCATTTTCTACATTCTTCCATTTTTCAACACCTTCGTATCTATTTCTTTGGCCTTCATCCTGGACAAGAGTAGTGGTGCCTTCCAACACCTATTCTGTGACACTAGCTGACTGTCCTGCAGTGTAAGTCATCTGGCACTGACTACTTGGAATTTGTGTAGATCCCACAAGTTAAAGAGCAAGGTCCTCAGCAAGTCCATCCTTCTTTCAGACTCCAGCCATTCATGGAGTCCCCAGGCTACCCACACCTCTGTCCAACTTGGTTACAAATTTGGGAGTTTCCATGACTTTCCTTCAGTTTCAATAATTTGCAGAATGACTCACAGAACTCAGGAAAATGTTCTACTTACAATCACCATTTTATTATAAAGAATACAAATGAAGAGCCAGGTAAAGAGATACGTAGGGTGGCAAGCTCTGGAAGAGCCCAGAGCTCAGGAACCTTTGTCCCTGTGGAATCAGGATGCTCCACCTTTCTAGTACATTGGAATGTTCACCAACTGGGACGCTCCCCAACCATCACCATCCAGAGTTTTTACTGGGCTTTCTTAACGTGGGCATCATTGCTTACATCATTGGCCATGTCAAAATTGAACTCAATCTCCAGCCCTGTTGCCTCCTTGGAGATTGGAGTGGGATGGGGCTAAAAATTCCAATGTTCTAATGACATGCTTAGTCTTTCCGGCTTGGACAACTCCTCCCTTGAAACTCTCTAAGGGCCCACTGTGGGTAACCTTGTTAGCATAAACCAGGGATGGGTGAAAGTGGCTTGTTATGAATACAAAAGGCACTCCTATCAGGAAACTCCAGAGTTTTTGAAATTGTTTGTTAGGAACTAGGCACAAAGGCCAGATACATTCTTTATTGTATCACAATTGGTCTATGCAGCAGTGATACAACTTTAAGTGAGGGTATGTGAGGTTAAAGCACTCAGACCTTCAAGTATCTTTAAAGCTGAAGCACAAGGAAAAAGTCTTTTGATTTGGCAAGAGGATGCTCCCAGGCTGGGGGAGAAAGGCAGGCTCAGAAGGAAAGGACAACAGCCTCATTTAGATATGGCAATGGTTTTAATCAGAGCCTTTGGAGAGCTTGAAGATCTAATGAAAGGGTTGGCTGGCTGCTGGTATAGCAGACCTCTGTGCCGGCAGGGGCAGGAAGGGTTTTGTATACAGAGGAAACAGACAGAAGGTGGATGAGTTGGAAGAGTCCGAGACCAAGATCACAGAGTTATGAGAACCAAGGAGCAAGTAAAGGGCCTTGCTTTGGAGACACAGAGGATTCCTTTTTCAGACTGGAAGGGATAAGGAGGAGCTAATTGGAAAAATACAGCTAAAAAATACAAGTTGACAGAATATGATGCACATAAAGTGGATGAGAGCAACTATTTTGCATGCATATATATATATATATATATATATATATATATATAGCATTTTAGGTTCTGGGGTGCATGTAAAGAACATGCAGGATTGTTGCATAGGTACGTACATGACAATGTGATTTGCTGCCTCCATCCCCATCGCCTATATCTGGCATTTCTCCCCACGTTATCCCTCCCCAACTCCCTACCCTCCACTGTCCCTCCCCTAGTCCCCCCACAGACCTCAGTGTATGATGGAGAGCAACTATTTCTAAAGGCAGCCTGCCTGCAGAGAGGGAGTTCAGCAAGTCAAGACTTTATGGAAGAGTTTGCAGTCTTGACTGATTTCAATGAGTCCAAGAAGCAAGGGATGGAGGCGTAGGGACCATCAAGGGAAGAACGGATCTGAGTGACTCTTCCTCATGGTGAGCTGAGTCTTTAAAAGCAATTGCCAGATGACTTCTAAAAGTTTCTTCTAGAATTATTATTCAGGGCTCTGTGGCTCCTGAATGAGAACATCTCATTGGCAATATCATCCATCCTAGCGTCACAGCTTCCCAGTGTCTGCACTGCCTAAAAAGAAAACATACATGGGGGAGAGCAATGTCTCCTAATAGTTACAACCACTGGTTAAAAGAATTTGGGAGACCTGCCTCTGGGAAGGTAACTATTGCCAGAGACAATTTTTCTGGTTGATAATGCAGATCTTTATAACTGGAGCTAACCCCAGGGTTGGCTTGGCCATCTCTTCCCTACATGCCACCCAGGATTGGGGGTGTAGGGTTCCTCTACAGCAAGGGTCTCACCTAGGAGCAGAAGACATATGACAAGGTCTCAAGACACTTAATTGTCACAACTGGGTAGTGTCTAGTGAGTAGAGGCCAGAGATGCTGCTCAACACACTCCTTTGTTTAGAGATACAGGACAGTCTCCAAATAAAGAACCGTCTGCCCCCAAATGTGAGTAAGTATCTAGGTTGAGAAATCCTGCTTTAAAGAAAGAACCCGGTGGAGAGAACCAAGCACACCTGGAGGGAGGATATCCTGGTGGAATACACCAGGTATATCTTGGTGGGTGAGGAGGGCTTTGGAGTGGTGTGGCAGACACCCTTGGGTGACCATTGCAACTCACGTCCACAGTCATCTTTGTAGCCACCTTCAAGTTATAGGTAACCATGTGACATTTCTGAGCAATAAAATGGAAGAGAATTTGCAGGATGCAGCTTCTAATAAAATCACTGTGTTCTTGACCTTTGAACCTCTGTATCTTTTCCCTTTCTGTTCTTCCTGCCTGGATCGTGAACCAGCCATCTGGAGGTACAGTGGCTGCCTTCAGGGCCATGAGCACTCAAATCAACAGCCAAAGAGGGTGGAGTCAAAAGCCAAAGCCAGAATGATCTGTAAACCCAGGGGAACGTTTGACAATGTCTGAAGACTTATGGTTGTCCCTGGGAGAGGAGGGCTAGTGGCACTTACTGGGTAGAGACCAGGGATGCTGCTCTGTACCCTACAGTGCATGAATCCGTGGTTGCCTGTCTGAGGATCACTTGTAGTAGGGGCTTAGTGGGGTGAACAGTTGTTTAAGCTCCTGTGAGCTGGGTTTCCTGTTATTTGTGGCTGAATTAATTTCAAGTTGCTACAGCAGGAAAAGTTCTTTGATTCAGGCTTGTTACAGGGCTATCTCCAGACAATGCCTCGTTTAGATGACTTTTACTGGCACTTTCCATGGCGGTATTGGGTTTCCAGACCCATCCTTGAAGCAGAGAGAGCAAAACCATTCCTTTGCTTCTTTTGCCAGAAGATGCCAACACCAACGGTCCCCTCCACCCACATCGCCAGTGGGTTCGGCTGGGTCCAAGATCACAGGCCTGAATGAGAGGGTAGAAGGCATTAGGAGATTCTAAAAACCAGTGACTTCAGAACATGGGGTCCATGATACTGTCAGCAATAAGACGGTCTGTCCTCACAGCTTTGATGTCGGCAACTCAAATATACTAATAGGGTTCAAAGTAACTTCCTAGAGGCCGCATGCAGTGGCTCATGGCTGCAATCCTAGCACTTTGGGAGCTGAAGTAGGAGAATCACTTGAGGGCAGGAGTCCGAGACCAGCCTGGCCAACATGATGAAACCCCGTTTCTACTAAAAATTTAAAAATTAGCTGGGTGTGGTGGTGCACACCTGTAGTCCCAGCTACTTGGGAGGCTGAGGCAGGAGAATCAGCTTGGACCTTGGAGGCGGAGGTTGCAGTGAGCTGAGATGGTGCTACTGCCCTCCAGCCTGGGTGACAGAGTGAGACTCTGTCTCCAAAAAAAACCAAATAACTTCCTAGAATTAAATTGTATTTTCTGAAAGTGTTTTGAAAGCTGTTAATTGCTATACTCATGAAGCCATAATGAAGGTGTAATCAAAATATCTCCTTTATGCTATGTCAACTAAAATATGATACATTACTTAATCAAATACAATGTTGCCAAGAACGCAGGGTAGGCAACCCACCAGGGGTCTCCTTCTCTCTTACTTCTCCTCTGTGCTTTTTCAGTGTTCTTTTATTTTCTCTCTTTCCTTTCCTTTCAAAAATGAAGGTGTCCATCATTTTTGTCCCTTGCCAGTGGCCCTAAGCAGATGGATAATATTTCTTGCTATTCTTGAAGGTCCAAAAGAGTAGATAAACACTAATCTAATAAAAACCCTGCAGGATAAAGCAGCCTGTGAATGACAGCGTTAGTTCTCAGGGACACACTTCCAACTCTAACACCTCTTAGATGAAAGCAACTCAGGGACCCTTCCCTGCTTTTTCTGAGCAGTATCTTCTCCTGCCTCCCTAGGTTTTATCCCTGGAGACTGTGAGAGGTTCTGTTGGCTAGCACTTTCTCCCTTTCATGCAATGAATAAATCGTGACCCCAGAAGAGGAAAATCCAGGTCGCTGAGACAGTGTTAAAGGGAATTGGATTAAGAAAAGGATGGGGCCAGAGTGAGGGCACCTGGTTTTCTGCAGCTGGCTCAGTAGAAATTTCCTCACAGTCTCATCTTCAAAGTTGTAGTTGACCTTCCAGAAGATACAGAGCTGCTGGTATTGTGTGACCAGCTCCAGGACTGTCCGGAAACCCTCTGCAGTGTCAAAATCCGGCTGGCCACTCCCCTGCTCCCAGGCATAAACCGTGAGCAGCTCCAAGGCATACTTTGGGGGCAGAGATCCCTTTGGCTTCAGTTTCCTTTCACACTAGGGAAGAGTGGGAACATCGGATGAACTGGTTAGGCTAGGAGCTCAGTGAGAGCCACGCAGGGGCCACAGCAGGGCAATTGAGTCACGATGTCATGCTGGTGTGCTCACGCTCTGCACTTGGATGTCTAAACTATTCAGCCTTACAGGAGTCCACCTAGCAGCTTGCAGGCAGCACACATGAGTTTCTTTATCGTGCTTTTGACCATATATGGCTTCCTAGGACAACAGTATATCTACAGTTTTCTAGAAACCCACTGCATGCTAAGTATGGGTCCAGGCATTTAACCCATATAATTTCCAAACCTCCCCACAATGCAGGCATCATGACCTCCACTTTAGTTGAAGACTCTGAGGCTGCGGGAAGTGGAGTGATTCACTCAAGCTCACACCACAGCCCTGCATCTTCTGATGCACCACGCCAACTCTCTGATTTTCCGAGATGGGAACCACAGAGTTTGGTCTTAGTTTCATGTTTCAGGCAACTTGACACAGAAAGGAGGCATCTCAGGAAGAGCTGTTATCATGGTTGATGTTTGCTGTCATGAGGATATTCAGAAGCTACCTTGTGTGCAAGTGCACAGAGGCTGAACAATATAGAAAATGCAGCCCCAGGCTGGGCACAGTGGCTCACGCCTGTAATCCCAACACTTTGGGAGACCGAGGTGGGCAGATCACCTGAAGTCAGGAGTTTGAGACCAGCCTGACCAACATGGAGAAGCCCCATCTCTACTAAAATACAAAAATTAGCCAGTCATGGTGTCACATGCCTGTAATCCCAGCTGTTTGGGAGGCTGAGGCAGGAGAATTGCTTGAACCCAGGAAGCAGAGGTTGGGGTGAGCCGATACTGCATCATCACACTCCAGCCTGGGGGACAAGAGCAACACTCCATCTCAAAAAAAAGAAAGAAAGAAAAAAAGAGAAAATGCAGCCTTGGTTCCACCTACAGCTTCAACCTGCCTTTCGAGAGACAGCATGTGCATTGGGAAGCAGAAAAGCCCCACTGGCAATGTGTAGGCATGTAAATTCCAACTTCTACCCACCCTCTGTGTGCAAGGTAACTGGGATTCCTGCAGAATGCTTTGGCCAGTGTGAGGGCAAAGTCAACCACACATAGCAGCTTTGATGGCTGGAGGTGCTCAGCGCCTGACCCAAATGAATAGGGTTAGTGAAGGGAATGTCATCAAGACACCCAGTGGGCAGATTCCCTAAAGTGGCTCAGCCCTCAGCATGGGAGAGTGTGGGCAACAGGGCGCAATGGTCATGGCTTACTGGTAAAAATAATAACCCGTGGTCAGGACAAGGACTGGTGAAAATAATAACCCGTGGTCAGGACAAGGACTGGTGAAAATAATAACCCGTGGTCAGGACAAGGACTGGTGAAAATAATAACCCGTGGTCAGGATGAGGACTGATAAAAATAATAAACCATGGTCAGGTTAAACATAATAACCCGGAGAACGATCCAAGATGGCTGATCGCTAACATCTCGGGATTGCAGCTCCCAGTGAAAGCACAGAGAATGAGAGGACACCACACTTTCAGACAAATTTTTGTTGCTCACGGAGCAGAAGATTCCCAGTGGAGGAGCCCCATGGGTCGCCAGCGTGACTCTTGTGGCCGGCACAGCCGTTTTGCCAGCTCCTCGGCGCAGCAGCTCTTGGTGCAGAGTAAACGGGACTGGTTCCCCTTCTGACCGACGTTTGGAGCTCCAGGAAGGCAGAGTCGCCTATTACAGACTCAAGAAGGAAGCCAGACTGGAGATTCCCGGGCAGAAAAGCACCATCAGTCTTAATGCCGCTGTTTTGGCTGGCACAGTGGGTTGCTCATATTTCGGCCCTGGGAATTAACAACTTGGACATCCACTCAGAGACCTAATTTGAAAGTTGGTAATTACAAAGAAGACAGGTGGATAAATTTACAATGATGGGAAGAAACCAGCGTGAAAAGGCTGAGAATACTCAAAATCAGAGTGCCTCTCCCTCTAAAGAGGATCACGGTTCCTCATCAACAAGGGAACAAGGCTTGATGGAGAACGAGTGCATCCCATTAACAGAATCAGGCTTCAGAAGATGGATAATAAGAAACTTCTGTGAGTTAAAAGAACATGTTGTAGCCCAATGTAAAGAAACTAAGAACTTTGAAAAAAGGCTCGATGAAATCCTAATGAGAATAGACAATTTAGAGAGGAATATAAGTGAATTAATGGAACTGAAGAATACAATACGGGAACTCCGAGAAGTATGCACAGGTTTAAACACTCGAATTGATCAAGCAGAAGAAGGGATATCAGAGGTCAAAGTCCAACTTAATGAAATAAAACGAGAAGACAAGATTAGAGAAAAAAGGATAAAAAGGAATGAGCAAAGTCTCCAAGAAATGTGGGACTATGTGAAAAGACCAAATTTACATTTGATAGGTGTACCTGAATGCGACGGAGAGAATGAATCCAAGCTGGAAAATATTCTTCAGGATATTATTCAGGAAAATTTTCCTAACCTAGCAAAGCAGGACAATATTCAACCCCAGGTAATACAAAGAACACCACAAAGATATTCCTCAAGAAGAGCAACCCCAAGGCACATAATCGTTAGATTCACCAGGGTTGAAATGAAGGAGAAAATACTAAGGGCAGCCAGAGAGAAAGGTCAGGTTACCCACAAAGGGAAGCCTATCAGACTTACAGCAGATCTCTCAGCAGAAACTCTACAAGCCAGAAGAGAGTGGGGGCCAATATTCAACATCCTTAAAGAACAGAACTTTCAGCCCAGAATTTCATATCCAGCCAAACTAAGCTTCACAACTGAAGGAAAAATAAAATCTTTTATGAACAAGCAAGTACTCAGAGATTTTATTACCACCAAGCCTGCTTTACAAGAGCTTCTGAAAGAAGCATTACACATAGAAAGAAACAACCAGTATTAGCCTTTCTAAAAATATACCAAAAAGTAAAGAACATCAGCATAAAGAAGAATTTACATCAACGAATGGATAAAACAGCCAGTTAACATCAAATGGCAGTAATCCTAAATTTAAATTGACTAAATCCCCCAATCAAAAGATACAGCCAAAACCCAATGGTATGCTACATCCAGACCTATTTCACATGCAAGGATACACAAAGACTCAAAACAAAGGGATGGAGAAAGATTTACCAACCAAATAAAGAGCAAAAATGAATAAATAAATAAAAAGTGGGAGTTGCAATTCTCGCCTCTGATAAAATAGATTTTAAAGCAACAAAGATATAGTGGTAAAAGGATCAATGCAACAATAAGAGCTAACAATCCTAACGCCCAGATACATAGAGACTTAGACTCAATGAGACAGAAAATTAATAAGGATATCAAGGACTCGAACTCAGATCCGGAACAAGTAAACTTAATAAATATTTATAGAGCTCTCCACTTTATATACACAAAACATACATTCTTGTCAATACCACATCACACCTACTCATAGGTTTAAATGAAATATTGATTGGCCATTATTAATACCCATTTTTTTAGAATAAAGCAACATTTTCATTCCCTCTCCCTCTTTTTCTTCCTCTCCTTCACGCCTTTTTTTTTCTTTCCTTCTCTCAAAAAAAAAAAAAAAAAAATCAACTTGTAGACCTCTAGATCCAGGTCGGCAATGTCTCTCTCACTGCCTGATTTCCTTCCTTCCCTTCTCTCTCCCTCCCTCCCTCCCTCCCTCTCTTCCTTCCTCTCTCCCTTCCTCCTTTCCTCCCTCCCTCCCTCCCTTCCTCCTTTCCTTCCTTCCTCCCTTCCTCCTTTTCTCCCTTCCTCCCTTCCTTCCTTCCTCCCTTCTTTCCTCCCTTCCTACAAAAAAAAAGAAAAAGAAAAAAGAATCAGTCCTCAACCTCCTTTATGCACTTTCAGAAAGAGATAGACATCCACTTCCTCTAACCCAAATTATTGCTTTCCCCTCATTGTGCTTTCCAAAGGGTACAAAAGCAGGCTGTAACCATACTTGCTATCCACACTATAAGCCCATTTTGTTCCCATTGGGAAATATCTGAAGATCTCCTATGGGTTGCAAATATTTTTCATCTCATTTATGATTTAGGCAAACTCTACTTATTCTACTTCCCTTAATATTTCCTTCTGAAAAAGAAAAAAATAATAACCCATGGTCAGGACGATGACTGGTAAAAATAATAACCCATGGTCAGGACGATGACTGGTAAAAATAATAACCCATGGACAGGACAAGGACTGGTAAAAATAATAACCCATGGTCAGGACAAGGGCTGGTAAAAATAATAACCCATGGTCAGGATGAGGACTGGTAAAAATAATAACCCATGGTCAGGACGAGGACTGGTAAATATAATAACCCATGGTCAGGACGATGACTGGTAAAAATAATAACCCATGGTCAGGACGAGGACTGGTAAAAATAATAACCCATGGTCAGGACGAGGACTGGTAAAAATAATAACCCATGGACAGGACGAGGACTGGTAAAAATAATAACCCATGGTCAGGACAAGGGCTGGTAAAAATAATAACCCATGGTCAGGACGAGGACTGGTAAAAATAATAACCCATGGACAGGACAAGGGCTGGTAAAAATAATAACCCATGGACAGGACAAGGACTGGTAAAAATAATAACCCATGGACAGGACAAGGACTGGTAAAAATAATAACCCATGGTCAGGACGAGGACTGGTAAAAATAACCCATGGACAGGACAAGGGCTGGTAAAAATAATAACCCATGGACAGGACAAGGACGGGTAAAAATAATAACCCATGGACAGGACAAGGACTGGTAAAAATAATAACCCATGGTCAGGACGAGGACTGGTAAAAATAATAACCCATGGACAGGACAAGGACTGGTAAAAATAATAACCCATGGTCAGGACGAGGACTGGTAAAAATAATAACCCATGGACAGGACAAGGGCTGGTAAAAATAATAACCCATGGTCAGGACAAGGACTGGTAAAAATAATAACCCATGGACAGGACAAGGGCTGGTAAAAATAATAACCCATGGTCAGGACGAGGACTGGTAAAAATAATAACCCGTGGACAGGACGAGGACTGGTAAAAATAATAACCCATGGTCAGGACAAGGACTGGTAAAAATAATAACCCGTGGACAGGACAAGGGCTGGTAAAAATAATAACCCATGGTCAGGACAAGGACTTGTAAAATAATAACCCATGGACAGGACAAGGGCTGGTAAAAATAATAACCCATGGACAGGACAAGGGCTGGTAAAAATAATAACCCATGGACAGGACAAGGACTGGTAAAAATAATAACCCATGGACAGGACAAGGACTGGTAAAAATAATAACCCATGGTCAGGACAAGGACTGGTAAAAATAACCCATGGATAGGACAAGGACTGGTAAAAATAATAACCCATGGTCAGGACAAGGACTGGTAAAAATAATAACCCATGGACAGGACAAGGACTGGTAAAAATAATAACCCATGGACAGGACAAGGACTGGTAAAAATAATAACCCATGGTCAGGACGAGGACTGGTAAAAATAATAACCCATGGACAGGACGAGGACTGGTAAAAATAATAACCCATGGACAGGACAAGGACTGGTAAAAATAATAACCCATGGTCAGGACAAGGACTGGTAAAAATAATAACCCATGGACAGGACAAGGGCTGGTAAAAATAATAACCCATGGACAGGACAAGGACTGGTAAAAATAACCCATGGACAGGACAAGGACTGGTAAAAATAATAACCCATGGACAGGACAAGGACTCGTTACCTCTTTGTACCAGTGCTTCACCAGGCGAATTAAATCTTTCAGTTTGGTGTGCTGGGAGCTAATGAAGTTTCGCTGCAGCGCGGTGAAACAGGTAGAAAACTCTCCTCCCGGGAGGTCCGAGGATTTATACAGATCAATGAGCCCTGCATAAACCTCAGGGCTGGATGTGGAGCCAGAACTCAGCTGACCTAGCAGGAGGAAGAGAGTGACATCCTGCTTTAATATGCATCGTAAGTAACAGATTCCAAAACATTTTTGGCAAATGTTTAATTCTGGGAAATTAATCTGAATAGTATTAGCATCTTTGAATGACCGATGTCTAAGACATAGGGAGCATCTCCAGAATAATGAGATACATAAGAAACTATGTGGTCTTCATTAAAGGGAATTAACATTGGAAATTTAGTTCCTCAGTTGCTGTAGCCACATGTCAAGCTCTCCGTAGTTGTAGAACCCAGACAGAGAACGTTTTCATTATCACAGAAAGATCTTTGGGATAATGCTGATCTGGAGTTTGCCAACCAATCTGGCATACTGCTTCTCGGCTTGTTTTGTTTTGTTTTTTGTTTTGCTTTTTTGAGACAGGGTTTTGCTCTGTTGCCCAGACTGGAGTGCAGTGGCGTGATCACAGCTCACTGCAGCCTCGATCTCCCAGGCTCAAGTCATCATCCCACCTCAGCCTCCTGGGTACCTGGGACTATAGGCATGTGTCACCATGCCTGGCTAATTTTGTTTATTATTATGATGATGATTTTAGAAATGAAATCTCACTATGTTGCCCAGGCTGGTCTCGAGCTCCTGGATCAATCTTCCTGCCTCAGCCTCCCACGGTACTGGCATTACAGGTGCGAGCCTCTCAGCCCAGTCCAACTGCTAGTTTTGTCTGTTTGTCTGTCTGTTTGTTTGTTTTTTTTTAGAGAAAGTCTCACTGTCACCCAGGCTGGAGTGCAGTGGCACCATCTTGGCTCACTGTGGCCTCCATCTCCTGGTTTCAAGCAATTCTCCTGACTCAGCCTCTCTGAGTAGCTGGGATTATAGGCACGCGCCACTATGCCTGGAAATGAGAAATGGGACCAAAATCGTATTCAAGTGTAAAGTATTACTGCCATGATTAATGCCACTTGCTGGGACCATGGACCCGGAGTGGCACATGTTTTCACAGCCTGTAATCAAGTCACGTGGCTTTCCCTCTACCCTCTGTCCACCCTCACTTCCAGGATCCAGAATCTTCTTCCTCCAGAAGCTAAGGTCTGGGGAACCTTACCCAGTGCGTTAAAGGCAGGAAGCACATCAAAGTTGACACTTTCATTGAGGACTTTGGATTTCAGAGAGAAGCTCAGCACCCTGGGAGCCTTCCACCTGGAAATCTCGAAGCGGACTTCAAGCTCCTCCTTCTTCTCCTGCTGAAAGGCTTCTAGCTGTTGATGGATTTCCTTGATGATTTTGTGCTGCTCATTTTTTTGGAAGGTGTAGCTTTTAAGCGAGTTATGGAACACGACGAGGTCGGAATCAGAGCCAGTTTTCAGAGCTGTGCCTTTGGCGGTTGATCCTCCCTAAGGGAAAAAGGAAGACTGAGATCCAGAATTTCCTTGACCGAGGATTCCTGTGCCCCTGTGGGCTGGCGCCAATTGGGCTAACTAACACGGTTTCCAAGGCCAAGTTCTGCGTTAGGGTCCAGTGAGGGCTGAGTCCAAAGCAGAGGGTTTTCTTTTACAAACTAATAGATAATACAGTTATTGAACAATACAGTTCCAAAGGCAATTATTCTCCTGCCTTTACACACAAACAACTGACAGCCTAGTTACAAGTAAACTTCTTCTCAAGTCAATTTCCTAAAGATTTTGCCTGAAGACATATTTGGCTTTATTTAGATTCCCGTGACCAAATAAATCGAGCTGAATGCAATCATTAGGGTGAAAGTGCTCTTCTGGAGTTCATATTCTTTGCAGGGACATGGATGAAGCTGGAAACCATCTTTCTCAGAAAACTAACATGAGAACAGAAAACCAAACACTGCATGTTCTCACTCATAAGTGGGAGCTGAACAATGAGAACACATGGACACAGGGAGGGGATCACACACCCGGGCCTGTCGGGGAGTGGGGGGTTGGGGAGGGAGAGCATTAGGAGAAATAACAAATGTAGCTGACGGGTTGATGGGTGCAGCAAACCACTATGGCACGTGTATACCTATGTAACAAACCTGCCCGTTCTGCACATGTGTCCCAGAGCTTAAAGTATAGTAATAATAAAAAAAAGAAAGAGCTCATCTTTCCTTTGACGTGTGTTTTCTCCTGCGATCTGGGGACCATCGGGTGAATACCCACAGTTGAGGTACAGAGTCATTAACCTTTCTGCAAAGGGCCAGATAGTAGATATTTTGGGCTTTGTGGGCTACTCATGTCTCTGCCATTAAGGCTTCTCCCTTCCCTCCCTCCTCTTTCTCCTCCTTCTCCTCCATTTAGTTTCTGTAGAGAAAAGTGTTTTCTTTTATCCATGGGTAGTAAATGCCTGGTTACATGGGTTAGGGAGGTGAGGAAGGGGTGTGTTCTATTTCCTGTATGCAGACCCTCCATTCTTCCCTGTTCCTGCCCCTTTCATTCATGCAGCCCACCTTTGTCTTTAAGAGCTGGACTTCGGTGGCTCCTCCCAGACTGTAGCCGCCCCCCCCCCCCCACAATCTCTAGGTGTCACCTTCCTCTAGCCTCAGCAGAGAAACCTTCAACCAACTCCAGCAAGATAGAAAGCAACGTCTCATCTGCCGATGGCTCTCTCTTCTTCCCTGATTGTCATATACCTTTTGTTTTTCACCGACTATCATGTGAATGGGGTCTCAGGAAAGAGAGGAGAAAGCACATGCTTTGACAATTCTAACACTGATCAGAAACTTGGTCCTGTTTTCACTCCAATGACCTTCAATGACGCAGTTTACCCATCACCCCGGGATACTGATGCCATTTCCTAGGCCCCTCTCTCTAGATGCACAGATTCGTTCTCGCATTACCACAGACATTTACGTGTACATAATAACATTTTCCTCCCTCCCTTCTTGTGACCATGGGGACACGTTTATCTGGTCTTGTGACCAGTAAATAGAGGGATACATGTCAGCCTGTGGCCTTTGAGCCATGGACAAGAATGACCGAAGCCTCTGAGTCTCTAGCTCAGCTGGTGTGGCAAGCTGGGTTCCAGTCACTGAAAGGAGATGGATATTCTAAGCTCCTTAGAATCTGCAGTGGGTTCAATGGCAGACCCCCTAATGACATATCCTCTGGGGTCCTGTGGAGGTGCCCTTATGTGGACAAAGGATCTTTGCAGATGTAACTGGGTTAAGGACCTGGAGATGAGATCAGGAAGGAGAGGAGAAAGCACATGCTTTCACAGCTCTAACCCTGATCAGAAACTCAGTCCTGTTTTCACTCGAGTGACCTTCAACGAGACAGTTCACTCATTGCCCCAGGGATATCAGTGTGAACAAAATATCCTAGATCCAGAAACGAAACCTGTCCTAGTTTCTGGGTCAGGCTGGGCCCTAAATCCAATAATGAGTGTTCTTAGAAGAGAAGAGAAGCGGGGAGGACACAGAAGAAAAGATGATGACAGAGGCAGAGAGGGGAGTGATGTATCTCCTGGCCCCAAGGATGGCCAGCAGCTCCAAGAAAAACAATACAGAATCCAAGTTGTGTTGTTAACGACCTAGGCGGTCTATCCACAGCCCCCACTGAAAACCAGTGTCCTAGTTCTCCTAACTCCCTCCCGGCTTCCCTTCCTCCAGTTTCTGAAGGTAGATGAATCCTAGAGAGCTACAATGCCCACTTAGCTCCCTTCCAGGAATGCCAATATTAAATCACCCCAACAAGACATAAGAGAAAGGCCAGTGCTCACCTGGACAGTCTGGATCTTGGCGGTCGATCGTCGGAAGCAATTTTCTTCAAGGAATTTACAGATGATGTTAACAGCACTGTCGACCTGCTCTAGGAAGTATTTGTCAGGCTGGAGAAAATCCTTGATGAACTTATCCAGATGGTGGCCCAGGGTCGTGAAGAGTGGCGCCGGCTGGGGAAAGAAGGAAGACCCCAAGTGTGAGTGGCCCCTGTGAGCCCACCCAAGGCTTCCATTCCTGCCTGTCCTGGGCCCCCTACCCTGCCTCCAGCTCGCAGGCTGACAGCTTTTCCATCTTTTGTCCTTGTATGAATACATCCCAGAACACACCTGAGAGTTTGGGGTGGGATGCAAGAACCCCCAGAAACAAAAACTGTCCTAGTTGCCCCTCATTCCCCCCAGGAGAGATCCGGATCCTTGTGCAGACAGGTCTGTGGTGTTCCTGACTCCAGACTCCTCTTCCACGCCTGGCTGGAGCATCACCTCCTAATGACCTGCGCCTTCTTGCTTTACCCACACATCTGGTCCTTCCCTGTTTTTCCGTTTGCTGTAGGTATCGGAGATGGCTGATGACCACATCCATTTCTTTCTTAAGGCTGTATCACCTTTCCTTAAGGTTAAACACACCATGTATGGGTGTGTTGGCTTCCAAGGGCTGCCATGACAAGTGACCACAACTAGGTGGCTTCAAACAAGAGAAGTTTATTGTCTCCCGGTTCTGGAGGCCAAGAGTTCAAACTCCAGATTTTGGCACAGCTGAACTCCCTCTGAAGCACACGTGGCTAAGGCTCTAGAGATGGGAGGATTATTCTGCATTACCTGGATTGGCTTGATGTCATCACCAGGGTCTTTTTCCTCTTAATTTTAATTTTTAATTGAATTAATTAATTTTTCTCCAATTTTATTTTAGGTTCCAGGAGATACATGTGCAGGTTTGTTACATGGGTAAATTGCATGTCATTGAGGCTTGGTGTGTGAATGATCCCATCACCTAGGTAGTGAGCATGGAACCCAATAGGCAGCCTTCCAATCCGTGCTCCTAAACCGTGTTTTTTCAGAATCAGTGTCTCGCTCTGTCACCCAAGCTGGAGCGCAGCAGTGGTGCCATTGTAGCTCACTGCAGTCTCCAATCCGTAGGCTCAAGAGATCTTCCAGCCTCCGTCTCCACAGGCTTGTGCCACCATGCCTAGTTATTTATTTATTTTAGAGATGGGGTCTCACTGGGTTCCTCAGGCTGGTCTCAAATTCCTGGTTTCAAGCAATCCTCCCACCTCAGCCTCCCAAAGTGCTGGGATTACAGGCATGAGCCACTGTGCTTGTAAGGACACAGGTACTTATGAGAGTCAGGCAGGAGAGTCAGAGTTGGAGGAGGTGATGTGATGATGGAAGCAGAGAGAGGAGCTGGAAGATGCTCGGCTGTCGGCTTTGAAGAGGGAGGAAGGGGCCATGTGCCAAGAAATTTGGACAGCCACAAGGAGCTTGGAAAGGTGAGGAAACACGTATTTTTATTTGGTTGGTGCAAAAGTAATTTTGAGACAGGGTCTTGCTCTGTCTCCCAGGTTGAATGCAGTGGCACAATCATGGTTCACTGTAACCTCAACCTTCCTTTCTCAAGTGGTCCTTCTGCCTCAGCCTCCTGACCAGCTGGGACTACAGGCATACACCCTGCACTGGCTAATTTGTTACTATTACTATTTTGTAGAGACGGGGTATTGTTATGTTGCTCAGGAACTCTTGGTCTCAAGTGATCCTCCTGCCTCAGCCCCAAAATATTGGGATTACAGGTGTGAGCCACCATGCCTGGCTCAAATTCATGTATTTTAAGTCACTAAGATTAGGGCATTTAAAAAAAAAAAAGCAGTAAGAGGAAACTAATTCACTGTTCTATACACATGTTGTACTTTTGCTGGCAACACAGACAAGATGGGCTAGCTCACCTGGGAGTCAGGAAGGGCGTATGCATGGTATGAGTACCTGTGTGTGCATGTACATATGTACATGAGTGCATGTGTGTGCATGGTGTGAGTACACATGTGTGCATGTGTTTATGCATATGTGTGTGGTATGAGTGCATGTGAGAGCGTGTGCATGACTGCATATGTGTGCATGTGTATGCATAGTATGAGTGCATGTGTATGCATGTGTATGAATATATGCATGTGCGGTGTGAGTGCATGCATGTGCATGTACATGAGTGCATGTGTGTGGTTTGAGTGCAAGTGCATGAATGCATGTGTGTGCATGGTGTGAGAGCATGTGTGTGCATGTGCGTGAGTGCATGTGTGTGCATGTGAGTGTGTGTGTGTGGTGTGAGTGCATGTATGTTCATGAATGCATGTGTGGTGCGAGTGCATGTGTACATGAGCCCTCCAACGTTTGTACCTCTTTATGCAGCGGTTCCTGGGCCTAAATTGTCATCAACAGATGTAGAGAGAGGGATGGGGATGGTCTCATAGCTCTCAAAATAGAAGTTGATAGGGTAGCAAAGCAAAAACAGCCAAAGTGAGCATCAAAAGATGGTTTAGGAGATATGTGGAACTAAATGATGTGTGCTTCTGGGTTGGAAGAGAGTGTCCTATAAAGGACATTCTTGGGATGATTGTCAAAATCATCCCAATGGGCTGTATTGGGACAATAATATATAACTCCTCACCTCCTGAACTTGATATGGCATGGAGGTTATTAAGAGGATATTCTTGTTCTCAGAGATCCCTATGATAGCATTTAAGGGTAAAAAGATGTCTGGCAGTCCACTCTCAAAGGGCTCAGTATAAACAACAGCTATAATGATGGGCAGGTGAGGTCGCTCACGCTTGTAATTCCAGGACTTTGGGAGGCCAAGGTGGGAGGATCACTTGAGCCCAGGAGTTTGAGATTAGCCTGGCCAATGTAGTGAGATCCCACCTTTAAAAATAGATTAAAAACAACTATAACAACAATAATAATAACGTGTACTACAAACTAACATAGCAAATGTCACACAGGATGCATCTGCATGAGGGGCTCCTAGCAGTTTATTGAACCATTTTTTTTAACTTTTTAAATGTTTCAAAGCTTCAGAATAAAATGTCAGGGAAGAGGGGGTAATTTTTTTGAAAAAAATCTGCCTGAAGAAGCCAGGAAAATTGGGGTCAGGGAGCAAAGACCAGGGGTCCAGTGAAAGTAGGGGTTGGGGTGACTGCTCAGAGCATCCTGATCCTGCTGGGTCCAGTTATGGAAGTTCCCCATTCATAGACTCCCCCGCTTCTGTGAATTTTGCTAAACTCATTTACGTCTTCATTTACATGCCAGATTGGTGCTCAGTTAGCCTTCAAATTTCTGTGCAAATGTGATGTGGATTCTGTCTCCCATAACTTGGATATAAATTAATCTCCTGCCTGTGAAGTGTGGAATTTGGTTGGCCCCTTTGGCCTCAATTAATAAAGTTGTCCCCAGTGAGGTTCCCAGGAAAGCTGAGAGGGCTCAGTGGTCTAACCTGGGAAGTTTCTTCTTGGATGGCTTTTCTCTAATAAGAGCTGAGCATGCAGGGGAGTTCGTGTTGGTGGATTTACTTCTCCTTTTGGGGATGGGAGGGGGAAGTCCAGTGCACCTGTTTCACAGCTGGTGCCTTAATTGGTTCTCCTGTTTTGGCCCCACTTCTGGCTTTTGCCCCCGGCACCTGCCTGAATGGAGCTCAGAGCCTGTCCTGGCAGCGACAGGCCTGACTGCCGCCCCTTCTCTGAACAATGCTCTGTTTCATGTCTCCGCATGCCTGGCTGTCTCTCTTAAAGAAATTAATTGAGATCTTGCATCTGTGGGTACCCCGTTTCTCTTTGTTCCATTTTGGACTTTACAGTCATTGCCCCTGTTGGTGTGCTGAGGGTTGAACTGTGTCCCCCTAAAAGATGCTGGGGTTCCAACGTACAGTATTGGCGAATGTGCTTTACTTGGAAATAGTGTCTTTTCAGATGGGATCTAGTGAAAATTAGGTCATTGGGGTGGACCCTAATTCAGTAAGACTGTTGCTCTTAGAAGAAGAGGAGACAATAAGACAGATATGCACAGAGGGAAGCTGATGTGAAGACACATAGGGAGAAGGGCATGTGACCACAGGGGTAGAGGCTGGAGTGATGCAGCCACAAGCCAAGGACTGCTGGCAACTACTGTAAGCTGGAGGAAGCCTGGAATAATTCTTCCTTAAGGCCTGCAGAGAGAGTGTAGCCCTGTCAACACCCTGAGTTTGAACCAGCAATATCCAGAATGGTGAGAGAATAAATTTCTGTGGTTTTAAGCCACCTGTTTTGCGGAATTTTGTAACAGCAGCACAGGAAATTAATACAGGGAACTCTCAGATAATACTTAGCCTGGGTGGCAGGAAGACTTTCCTGCAGCATGCAATACCGTGTATTTGGAAAACCCTCTTACCAGGACATTCCAAGATGGTGCAGGTAACTCATTATCCAGGTTGGGAGAAGTCAACCAGGTCTGAGCCTCTTGTTTCAGCCTTTGCCAGCATCTGTAATCTCCACTCACGTTATTGGTCGGGTCGGTTGGATCCAAGATTACTGGCCTGTGTATTCCATTAGATTAAAAAAAATCAGTTGAGCTTCTTGTGAGGGGCAAAATCTGTATTGGGGAAAGAGGCCTTGAGTGGGAATCTGGTGACCTGAATTTGGATTCCCATGGCTCCTCCAAGCTGCTGAAGGGTTTTGTCTAGGACATCAAGCTCCTCTGGCCCTGCGTTTGCTGCTTTGCAGAGACATTCTATTAATGAAACAACAAACTGGTCTTCTCTTCCTGCCACTCCCCCTTCTCTCTTAGCCCCTTCTTTCTATAAGGGGAAGTGTCGCTTCATGTGTTTGTTTAGGGGACAAAATGTGATTATGGTTTGGAACGTGAAAAGCAATGGTTGGACCTCCCCTCTTTCAGACAGACCCCTCTGCCTCCCCACCCATGGCGGCTGCCATTCTTCTGGTACATCACTGACTGGACAGGGCAAGGCTGAGATCTCATTCCAAAGAGGTACACCTAGCACGCAGATGATGAGGTACAGGGCTAGGGCATGAGAAGCTTGGCACCTCTCTGATTGGAACTGGTGCAGCAAGACGTTCCTGACGGTCTCATCTTCAAAGTTGTAGTTGACCATCCAATAGATACACAGCTGCTCCTGGCATTTGATCAGCCCCAGAACGGTTCTGACGCCTTCAGCAATGTCGAAGTCATCTTGTCTGCACCCCTGTTCCCAGGCATACACAGTAAGCAGCTCCAGGGCGTACGGAGACAGCAAGGGTAAACCATTCATTTTTTCCTGGCACTATGGGAGAAGAAAAGGGTGGTGGCTTATTTGGGGATCGAGTTCTTCCTATGTCGGCAATCTGAAATCAAGAAGCTAGAAGCCTACAGGAAGTCATTCTCCCTCGCCAGAATGCCTACAATTCAGTGGACTCACAATACCAAGTCTTGACAAAGATGTAAAGCAACTGGGATGGAGCAGGGACCTCTCTTAGGGGCCTGCAGGCCACCACTGCCCCCATCCCACAAGCAGGAAAAGAAAGGAAAATCTTGAGTTCTTTCAAGGGAAATTCCAGGCCCCTCACTAGCTTTGAAAAGTCAATGAGCCATTTGATAAGCAAAAATATAGTAGTTCAGGGTCTACAGGAGCAGTGAAAAAAAAACCCAATAAAATAAAAACAACAAAAGAAGGTAATAGTCACTTAAAACAATAGCCAAGGAAGTCAGAGTCAGAAGATGTTTTGTTCCCTGTAGAAACTAAAGATAACATCTTAACATATGTCCCTGAGTTGATTTTCAGAAACTCAGACTCCCACCAAGTGAATCCACTGGCAGGCAGACCTCAGATAAGAGGAAGCTGAGCATTGAACCCTGGCTCCTTCTTTGTTCTAAATTTCTTCCTGAGGGTCCTGGAGGAGGTCACACCTATGAGCCAGAGCTAACATTCCTTTCTGCAGATCTGAAATTTTTAGACAAAGCTTCACCTACTTCACCAATCAAAAATCGGAAGATCTTTGAATCCTGTGACCTGTGCCACCCATCCTCCTCCTCCCTCCTGCTTGGACGTGTCCCACCTTTTTAGGTCAAACCAATGTACAGCCTCCATGTGTTGACTTATGGCTTTGCCTGTAACCTCTGTCTCCTCACCTTTAAAACCCTTACCTATAAGCCACTGGGGAGTTCAGCTCGTAAACATGAGCTGCCCAGTTCTCCCCGCTTGGCTCCCTGCAATAAATGCCTCACTCTTTCTCTGCAATCCCAAAGTCACTGTTTGGCTTTGCTGTGCTAGGTGAGCAGATCCTTGGGTTTATTAACATGCCTGAAACTCATACGTTGCTCATGAGAGGGTAATTTGGTAAGATTTTGGAAATGGTTTGGCAAGATTTGCTATAGTTAAACAAAAAAGAATCAAATAAACCACATGTATTTTATATATTTACACAGATACGTACACAGCATTTGTATATGTGTACTAGATAGCCCAGCAATTCTACTGCTACATATTTACCCAAGAGAAATGAGTGCTTACATTCACAGAAAGACATGTAGGAGAATATCCATGGTAACCTAATTCATCATTGCCCCAGTTTGAAAATGACCCAATCATCTATCAGTAGCAGAATGGATACATGTATGTTATGTTAATACAATGGAATACGGCAAAACAATAGAGGCGGACAGATCATGAGGTCAGGAGATCGAGACCAGCCTGGCCAACATGGTGAAACCCTGTCTCTACTAAAAATACAAAAATTAGCCAGATGTGGTGGGTGGATCTCCTGAGGTCAGGAGATCGAGACCATCCTGGCTAACATGGTGGAAACCCTGTCTCTACTAAAAATACAAAAATTAGCCAGATGTGGTGGGTGGATCTCCTGAGGTCAGGAGATCGAGACCATCCTGGCTAACATGGTGGAAACCCTGTCTCTACTAAAAATACAAAAATTAGCCAGATGTGGTGGGTGGATCTCCTGAGGTCAGGAGTTTGAGACCAGCCTGGCCAACATGGTGAAACCCTGTCTCTACTAAAAATACAAAAATTAGCCGGGTGTGGTGGTGCATGCCTGTAGTCCCAGCTACTCAGGAGGCTGAGGCAAGAGAATTACTTGAACCCGGGATATGGAGGTTGCAGTGAGCCGAGATCCCATCACTGCACTCCAGCCTGGGCAACAGAGCAAGACCCTGCAACCACATGAATGAGTCTCTCAGACATAATGTTGAGCAAAAGAAAGCAGACATAAAGCATGTACAGTATGATCCCACTTATGTGGTTTAAAATCAAGCAAAACTAATCTGTGGTGGTGACAGATGTTGAAACAGGAGTTTGTTTGGGAGGATTACTGGAGGGGGCAGTGGGCTTGAGGCACCTTCTGGGGTGCAGGAAATGTTCCTTCTGTTGATTTGGGTGTTGCTGGTTAGATTATAACAATACCTGGAGCTGTATACCTAAGACGGTTGCACTTTACTGGATGTCAATTATCTTGATAAAAAGGAAATAAGTGATAACTGCATATAGACTGTTGGAAATTACCTGTTGATGCCAGTGCTTTATCAAGAGGATCAAATCCTTTAGTTTTCTGGGACAGTTGTTGAAAAACTTCTGCTGAAGTTCGGTGAAGCAGACTGCAAACTCACCAGGGCGGGCATTTGTCTTATCCAAGGATCTTTTGAGCTCTCGATAGATCCAGGGGCTGGGACTGTCATTTAAGCCTGAAGTGAAAGAGAAATTGGAACTTTAGTATTTACGTAACCTGGTCTCAGAGAGACAGGGCTGCTCTACCATGAGGGTCAATTGTAGTTTGATAGCACACAACCCCTGCTTAATCGGCCAAAGGACTGGTACCTTTACATAAAGCATAATAGGGAAGGATGATTTGGCCCATTAGATAATAAAGTGTAGTCTAAAGTGACTATAATGAAAACGGTATGGTGTTAACCCAAGTCAAGATCAGCAGAACCGAATGAAGGGACAAGAGATGCAATTCTAAATGAGAAAGGGAATACTCCAAATTAGTAGGGAACAAGTGGGTTCTTTAAAAAATTGTTGGTGTTGGCATAATTGGTATACATCTGGAAGAAAGGAAGGTTAGGAAAGTTTATGTTTTACATGCAATGTATTCTGTTATTGAGTCTATCCAGTAAATATCCTATTTCAGAGTGTCAGGGTATAGGGACTTTGAGGAGGCAGGCAAGGTGGCAGCAGGGCCTTGGAAGCCTGGGGACAGAGGCTGGTTTAATCAATGTGTTTCCATTCTTGCTAGCTAAGCTCCACTGCTTATAAATACATTTATTTAGCTTGGCATGGTGGCTCATGCCTGTAATTCCAGCACTTTGGGAGTCTGAGGCAGGTGGATCACTTGAAGCTGGGAGTTTGAGATCAGCCTGGCCAATATGGTGAAACCCCATCCCTACTAAAAATATAAAAATTAGTTGGGCAGGTGGCAGGCACCTGTAATTCCAGCTACTCAGGAGGTTGAGGCAAGTGAATAGCTTGGACCCTAGAGGCAGAGGTTGCAGTGAGCCATAATTGTGCCACTGAACTCCATCCAGCCTGGATGACAGAGTGAGACTCTGTCTCAAAATAAAAATAAAATAAACACATTTATTGATTGATTACTGTTACTGAAACACCAGGGGTTCAGTCTAGGTCCCGCACAGAAAGCCAATGACTGAAACAACAAGTGTGGCCAAGAAGAAGGCTTTAATCAGGTGCCACAGCCAAGGCGATGAGAGTCAGTCTCAAATCCTTTTCTCTGACAGACTAAAGTTAGGGTTCTGTATAGCAGAGAAGAAATGTAACTATGTGTGGGGAAACAGGAATTAGGGAGGGGTAAGGAGGCAATCATGAGGAATAAGGGATCTGATATTGCATTGTCTGGATGCAGTGACTGATGATTTTCAGTTCTTTGATACTTTTTGAGAGGTTTGAGGGTCCTTTTCTGATGAAGGAGCTCAAGTTAAACAAACGTAAGTTTCAAGCTTTAAGATGAGAAGAGTCAATTTCTATGTTCATAACAACAACAACAAAACCCCCCAAACAAACAAACAAAACCAAAACCGAAAACAAAATGGTCTATGGGACTACTGGGTTTGGTTCATCATTATTCTTATTTTTAGAGATAGAGTCTTCTCTATCACTCAGGCTGGACTGCAGTGGTGCAATCATAGCTCACTGAACCATCAAATATATTTCAAAGCTCAAGTGATTTTCCTGCCTCAGCCTTCTGAGTAGCTGGGACCACAGGCATGTGCCACCATGCTTGGCTTTTTTTTTTTTTTTTTGAGATGGCATCTTGCTATGTTGCCCAGGATGGTCTTGAACTCCTGGCCTCAAGTGATCTTCCCACCTTGGCCTTCCAAAGTGTTGAGATTACAGATGTGAGCCACCACCCTGGCCCATAGAGACATTTAGATAAATAACCAGGAGAAAACAGCCAGCTTGTTCCTTTCATACACCCCAGTGGATATTTACTGACTCCCTAGACGTGGTTCTGGGCACTTGGCATGCAGGGAGGTTGAGGGAAAGAGCATCCTATCTTCCTCCATAATGATAATAAATAGCTAACATTTATTGTGTGCTTACCCTAAGCCTTTTATGAACAGTGTAACATATAAGCCTCACAAAACTCTTAGCTGGCAAGTGCAATTGCAATTACTAATTTACAGATGAGGATAATGGAAATGCCAGCAAGTCAAATACCAGCTGGTATCAAGAAATACCAGCAAGTAAAGCAAGTAAAGCGAGAAGTAAAAACTTCTCACTTTTGGGTCAAAGTCACTAGGGGAGAGTTGTGGTGGCACCCAGTGGTGGAAAGAAATGCAGAATTGGAGACAGCCTGCCAGGACCTGGTGAAAAAATAGGCCAGATTAGTTAGGCTAATATTTATTAAAAAAAAAAAAAAAAAAAAGCAAGTTATCAATTCCCCTGTAGGTTGCTTTTCTCATAAAGTGACCCCGTGTTTCCTTCACAAAAGGAAGCCTGTAATAGTTTGGAATGTGCAGCTTTACCACCATCTAGTGGCGCCTTCTGGGTAGAACATGCCGGGAACAGCTTATTTCTCATTTTCACACCACCCTTGCATGGTGGTGTGGACCCAGCAGAGGGCGCTCTGGCCAGGTCTCCCAGCATGGCTCTTGGAACAGGAAGAGAAGACTTTCCTATAAGAATTATGAGTGCACCTGTCTCCCACCTTGACTCCAGCCCTTGTTTGAAGCAGGTCCCCACCCCCAACCCTGAGCATCCTAATGGCCCTGGAAGCTAGTTTCCAGTCTGATTGTACAGCTGGCAGGTGTAGGTGAGTAGTAGGACCAGGATAACCTCCCAAACTGGCGCATGTTTCCCCGAGCCAGGCCTCCTTTCTGTGAATGTGAGTTATCAGGATGTGTGTATGTCTCCACCTTATCAGTGATGGCTGGGCTGATTGTTCATCTAGGTTCCTGGTAACCCAGAAATTCCTTAAAACTACAGATGATGGAAGGTACTTGGGCTTAGAAGACCTGGGCTTTTCGGTTTCCCCACTTGATTAATGATGGCTTAAGTTTCAGCTTGGGAAGTTTCTTCCCCTTCTCTTACCACTCCACTTCCTCCTCCCCTTCCTCTTCCCCTCCCCCCTCCCCTTCCCCCTCTCCCTCCTCCCTCCCTTTTTCTTTTTCTTTCCTTTCCTTTTCTTTTTCTTTTGATCAGGTCTTGCTCTGTTGCCTGGGCTGGAATATAGTGGTGTGATAATAGCTCACTGCAACCTTGAACTCCTATGCTCAAGCGATCCTTCTGCCTCAGCCTCCCCAGTAGCTAGGACTACAGGTGCATGCTACTCCATCTGACTAATTTTCAATTCTTTTGTAGAGATGGGTTTCACTATGTTGCCCAGGCTGGTCTTAAACTCCTGGCCTAAAGCAATCCTCCTGCCTCAGCCTTCCAAAGTGCTGGGATTATAGGCATGCGCCACCACACCCAGCCTGGAATTGTTTAAGTTTGTGATTATATGTGCACCTGTCTTGAGACTATCCATCTCATCCATGAATATATACATACATTTACTATCTATCTGTCCATCCATCTATATTCATTTGTCCATCCATTTTCCTTCCATCCATTTATCCATCATGATCCATCTATCCATTCATCCAACAAATATTATTAGTAGTGAACACTGTACTAGAGACCATAGAAGAACAAGATACTCATGATACCCGTCCTCATGGAGCTTCTAGTCTAGGAGAGGAGAAAACTAAAGAAATTATTTCCATATAAGTAGTGAAAGGATAGTAAGTCTTGGGGCCCCAAAATCACTCAGGTAAAGGGAAAAGTCAGGCTGAGAACTGCCAGGACAAACCTGCCTCCCATTCTATTCATTCACCCCTCTGCTCACTAAGATAAATGCATATCTGATTGCCTCTTTTGGAGAGGTTAATCAGAAACTCTAAGGCATGCAACTATTGGTCTCTTATTTACCTATGATCTGGAAGCCCACTCCCCACTTTGAGTTGTCCCACTTTGCCTTGAGTTGTCCCGTCTTTCCAGAGGGAACCATTGTCATCTTATATATGTTGACTGATGTCTCATGTTTCCCTAAAATGCATAAAACCAAATTGTGCTCTGACTGACTTGAGGACATGTCTTCAGGACCTCCTGAGGCTGTGTTATGGGCACACGTCCTCAACCTTGGCAAAATAAACTTTCTAAACTAACTGAGACCTGTCTCAGATATTTGGGGTTTGCAAAGTGATAAATCTCATGATTCAGAAAGCACAAATTGCTACTGGAGCATGTGGAAAGTGGATCTAACCCAAACATACAGAACCAGAGGACTTAAAGGATGAGCTGGAATTATCCAAAAATAAAGGCTGGGGGAAATATGTTCCAGGCAAAGGAACAATATGGGCCAGAGTCTGAAGTTGAGCGAGCACCATGTGGGTTTGAGGAGCTCAGGGAAGGCCAGAGTGGCAGGAGCATAGGGAGTTAGTTGGTGGTGGGTGGTACAGCTGGAGAGGTAAGTAAGTAGGGGCTGCCAGGTCATAAAAGTCCCATCCTGCTGAGGAGTTTGATCCTCAACCTTGTAAACCAAAAATAAAATTCTAAGCTTTCCCAACCGACTGAATGAACCCCTCTCTTGGTCAAGGGGAACCCCCAAAGAAACCTGAAAAACTAGATCAGGTCCTGATGGGAAGGAGGAGCTCGGACATACCTCATTATACTCTCCTCCATTTGGAATTCAGGCACAAATGACAAACATTCGCATTAAAATAGAGATCCCAAGAACAGGTCTCTCTGTAGCAACCTAACTCTGGTATAGCATCGCATGACATAACAGGCCCTAAAGGAAATCAAAAGTATTTTACCCCAAAATATATTTCTTTAACATGTTTTGGAATGCTCTTGCAAAGCTGTGTCGTCTGGGAAAATTCATATTCTGTGGTAAAGCCCCTTCCCCTTCCAGGTCTTCTTCTGATTCAGAAGAGATTTTAACTAACAGTCTAACACCTTTAAGTTCTGATAAGAGACATTTGCCACCTATTCTCCCTGAAACCCGCTACCTGGAAGCTTCATCTATATCATAAAAACCTTGGTTTCCACAACTCCCCTTATCTTAACCTGAACTCCTGCCACCAAGTGCTAATCAGGAAATCTAAATCTTTTTTTTTTTTTTTTTTGAGACAGGAGTCTTGCTGTGTTGCCCAGGCTGGAGTGCAGTGGCATGATCTCAACTCACTGCAACCTCCACCTCCCAGATTCCACTGATTCTCCTGTCTCAGCCTCCCGAGTAGTTGGGACTACAGGCGCATGCTACCATGCCTGACTAATTTTTCTATTTTGTAGTAGATGGGGTTTCACCATATTGGCCAGGCTGGTCTCAAACTCCTGACCTCGTAATCTGCTCGGTTCGGCCTCCCAAAATCCTAGGATTTCAGGCATGAGCCACTGTGCCCAGCTAGGAAATCTTTATAACCACCTATGACCTGGAGGCCCCTGCTTTGAGGCAGCTTGCCTTTACAGGCTGAACCAATGCATACCTTACATGTATGCTTTATGTTTCTCCCTGTAAATTCTGTCCCCCTAGACTGTATAAAACAAGCTGTAACCTTGGGCACACGTTCTCAGGAACTCCTGAGGGTGTGTCACAGGTCATGGTCCTCATAGTTGGCTCCGATAAAACGTTTTAAAAATGCAATGAAAAGCCATTAGTGGCAGAGTGTGTGACACAATGATATCTGTGCATGGAAAGAGAGCATCAGCTGCAGCATGGAGTGAGAGAGGAGGCAGGGAGACAGTTAGGAAGCCATTGCCACATCCCTGGCAGTGACATTGACTAGGGAGGTGGCAGTGGGACAGGAGAGAAGTAAAGCAGATTTAGGAAAGTTAGGCAGAACTGGCAGGACTTAGCGATGGGCTGTGAGTGGGGGGGTGGGGGGAGTTGGAGATACAATCCTGGCTTAGGTGTATAAACAAAAAATAAAATTTGAAGCCCCCCAATCATCTGAATGGACCCCTCCTCTCAGCAAGGGCATTCCAAAGTTAACCTGAAAACCCAGTTCAGGACATGATGGGAAGGAGGAACTGGACATGCCCCATGATACCTTCCTCCCTTTTGGAATTAGTGATAGAACAGACTCTTGCCTGATAAGAAATATTTACAATCTATTCCCTCTGAAGCCTGTGACCTGGAGGCTTCATCTGCATGATAAAACTTTGGTCTCCACAACCCCTTATCATCATAACCCAGAGGTTCCTTTCTATTGATGATAACACTTTCAATCAATTGCCAATCAGAAAATCTTTAAATCTACCAATGACTTGGAGGCCCCACTTTGAGTTGTCCTGCCTTTCCAAACCAAACCAACGTACATCTTACATGCATTGATTGATGTCCCATGTCTCCCTAAAATGTATTGTATTAGTCTGTTCTCATGCTGTTAATAAAGACATACCTGAGACTAGATAGTTTATAAAAGGAAAGAGGTTTGATTGACTCACAATTCCACATGGCTGGAGAGACCTCACAATCATGGTAGAAGAGCAGGGGACATCTTACATGGTGGCAGGCAAGAGAGAGCTTGTGCAGGGGAGCTCCCCTTAATGAAACCATCAGATCTTGAGAGACTTATTCTTTATCAGGAGAACAGCTGGGAAAGACCCACCCCTATGATTCAGTTACCTCCCATTGGGTCCCTCCAATGACACGTGGGAATTATGGGAGCTACAATTCAAGATGAGATTGGGTGGGGACACAGTCAAACCATATTATGTATAAATCCAAGCTGTACCCTGACCACCTTGGCACATGTCATCAGAACTTCCCGAGGCTAAGGTTAAGGATGTCATGGGCACATCCTTAACCTTGGCAAAATATACTTTCTAAATAAATTGAGCACTGTCTCAGACACTTTTGGTTTACAAGTGATAGTGTTGCTGGAAAAGAGCGTCCTGATTCAGACCCCAAGGGAGGGTTCTTGGATCTCATGCAGGAAGAAATTCAAGGCAAGTACAAAGTATGGTGAAAGAAGCAAATTTGTTAGAAACGATTTTGTTACAGAGTAGGGCATCCTCGGAAAGGAGGAATGTGCCATTCTTTGTTAGTGTATTTGTTTATCAGAAATTATAAGGGGCTGTAATTAAAATTGGAATGTGCAGATGCACTCACTAAAGGTAGGGGCTATTGGTGTTGTTAAATCAAGTTTAGCCTAAAGCTGCCTTCTTACAGATTTTAAGGTGGGCCTGAAATTTCCCTGCACGTGGTGAACTATAACCTAAATGGATGTGTAAACAGACTGCAACCTACTCTTGTGCCAGTCACTGAGTTTTGGTCAATTAAAGGTGACCAGCTGTTCAAATCTTATTGAAATAAGGCCAATGCTGAACGATAACCAGCCTGGCTGTTTCTCCACCTCATTTTCACTTTCAGTACGTCACTTTCCTCTTCCTGTCCATAAATCCTCTTCCACCATGTGGCTGTGGTCGAGACTTTCTGAACCTACTCTGGCTCGGTAGGCGTCTAGATTCGTGAATTATCTGCTCAGTTAAACACCATTAAATTGAATTTGGCTAAGAATTTTCTTCTTTCTTTCCTCCTCCTCCTCCTCCTCCTCCTCCTCCTCCTCCTCCTCCTCCTCCTCCTTCTTCTTCCTTTCTTTTGTTGAGATGGAGTTTCACTCACATTGCCCATGCTGGAGTGCTGTGGTGCGATCTCAGCTCACTGCAACCTCTGCCTCCTGGGTTCAAGCGATTCTCCTGCCTCAGCCTCCTGAGTCAGTTGCTGGGATTACATGACTGCACCACCATACCTGGCTAATTTTATATTTTTAGTAGAGACGGGGATTCTCCATGTTGGTCAGGCAGGTTTCGAACTCCTGACCTCAGGTCATCCACCTGCCTCAGCCTCCCAAAGTGTTAGGATTACGGGCATGAGCCAGTGCACCCAGCCCAAGAATTTTCTTTTTTCTTTTTCTTTTTTTTTTTTTTGAGACCGAGTTTTGCTCTTGTTACCCAGGCTGGAGTGCAATGGTGCGATCTCGGCTCACTGCAATGTTGGGGTCCGGCACATCTGCCGGGGGGCTACTGACCTGCGGGAGTCCCTGAGACCACCAATGTAGATGTCGCTTTCAACCTGAGGGAGAGAGTGCGCGGAAGTGAAAGAAGAAAGAAAAGTGGAGTCTGGAGGTCTGAGTGACTTGCAGTCAAACAGCAACTTTATTTTTGTAGGTGACAGCTTTTATACTTTTCTTGTTACATTTACTTTAGCTCAGCAGAAAAGGGGGCAAACAGAAAAGGGAACAGAAATCACGTAAAAATAGTTATCAGGGGCCTGTGATAATAGCTTACAAAGCAGTTCAAGAGTTAATATATGTTTTTCAAAGATACACAGTGCAAGCAAACAATGGTTCCTTAAAGGTGGCTTGTTAACTATGTTTTCCATCAGGAGGTAGAGCAAAGGCTCAGCTCCTGAGAAAATATGGGCAGGGGTCTTTGCCCCTCTCAGGCACCTCAATTGCAGCAAGCCTACTGCTTACACAGAGACTAAAGGGGATATGAAGCAGTCAGCACGATGTCCTCATAAACCGCAGGCCCTTACTCTGCATTCTGTTTTTGCCTCATTGGCTTAGCCATTTTTACCTCGACTCGACAGCCCTCGAGAGCAGGGGGAGAGCAGATAGGTCCAGCAGCCAAGATGGGGTGAGTCACACTAACTGTCTCAAGCCCTTGGCGTGAACACTGCATTGCAACCTCTGCCTCCTGGGTTCAGGCAATTCTCCTGCCTCAGCCTCCTGAGTAGCTGGGATTACCGGCACGTGCCACCATGCCCAGCTAATTTTTTGTATTTTTAGTAGAGACGGGGTTTCACCATGTTGACCAGGATGGTCTCGATCTCTTGACCTCGTGATCCACCTGCCTCAGCCTCCCAAAGTGCTGGGATTACAGGCTTGAGCCACCATGCCCGGCCAAGAATTTTCTTAACAGTAACATCAATGACCATTACTCCTTCAACCTAAGCCTGCTCATTAAAGGCAACCTGTTGCCTTTAAGTGGGCTGTACTTTCAGAACATCTGGACATTCTGTAGGCTTAGTGGCAGATGTTTTGTATGGCCATAAATATTCTGCAATTATAACTGGTGGTCAGCTTAGACTGTGGCTGTTTTCAGACCCAAGTATTAAGGCTGTAGGTTCCTTGTGAGTGCCTAGCTACTTGCTTTAAGATGGAATCACTCTAGCCATCTTTTATTAAACCAGAAGCCTGGTAAGCAGAGGTTACTTTAGCAGTAAGCAAGAGTGTGGGAATGTTTGCTGAGGCAGGAGACACAAGACATGGTCAGTTCTTGGGGATTTAGGAGCTGGGTTCAAGGCACCCCTCAAGCTTTGGTAGTTATCTGTGGAAGGTTGTTGCCTTGATTTTGAGCTGGGAGGAAGGCAAACTTCAGACACTTCCCGGCTGGACTTTTTCCAGATGTTTGCCTCCTCCTCTCACTGTAACCGACACTGACTCTGGTCAAAATCCACAAGTGTGATCTGTGGACCAGCATCATCACCATCATGGAGCTGGCTAGAAACATGAAATCCTGGGCCCTGACTCAGACCTCCTGAGTCCAGATCTGCTATCTAACAAGGCTCCAGGTGATTTATTATACAGGATGGCTTAAAAGGCTCTGCTTTAGATTCTAGAATCCAAAACAGTTTCTCCAAAGACAATCAGGATATGGGGGAGAAGTTAGTTCCAGAAAAGAGAGAGTGAGTCCAGGGTAGAAGGGATTCTTCTCTCCTGAGGGTCTATGGTCTCCTGTTTTTGAAAGCAGCAGTGTTATCTATCCCACCCACAGCCTAGAGGATGCACAGGGCAGTCTGGCACCCCCTTTTTTGCTTTTCTCCCCCAACACCCAGGAATGCTTACCCAGAGCATTGAAGGCAGCCAGCACCTCAAAAGAGATTCTCTGATCTTTTGTGAACACTTGGATGGTGAACCCATCACAGGACATCTGGATCTCAAAATTGTCTTTTATCCACTCTACAAACTGACATGAGTTCAGCTTATGTCCAGTTTTGACAAGCTTATCACGTTGGCTTCCCTTCTGATCCTGGAATTGTTTTAAGTCACCGAAGAAGAGGACGAGGGTACCATCACAGTTGCCTCTTAAGAATGTTTCCCGGCCATAGGAGCCACCCTGCCAGTGACAAAGAAGCAGATGTGAGTCTCTAGACTGGGGTCACAGGGATCTCTAGCAGGCAATGGTATTTATCATCTCAAGTAAAAGCTAAAAATGTCACCACTGTATTGTTTTTTTTTTTTTTGAGTCTCACTCTGTTGCCCAGGCTGGAGTGCTGCAATGGCACAATCTCAGGTCACTGCAACCTCCACCTCCCAGGTTCAAGCAATTCTCCTGCCTCAGGTTCCTGGTTACAGGTATGCACCACCACACCTGGCTAATTTTTGTATTTTTAGTAGAGATGGGGTTTCACCATGTTGGTCAGGCTGGTCTCGAACTCCTGACCTCATGAACTGCCTGCCTCAGCCTCCCAAAGTGCTGGGATTACAGGCATGAGCCACTGTACCCGGCTCATGGTCTTAAAATTGAGTGGCAGGTATCCATTTGTCCCACAAAGACCTGATTGGGATGCTCATAGTAATACTTTTCATACTAGCCCCAAGCTGGAGGTGACTCAAATGGCCATTGACAATAGAAAGGGATTGAACTGCCCCCACCTGCCACCACTGGCACCTGTGCTTACTGGCTCAGAGCCTGAGGATAGGATTGCCCCACCTGCCATTGTTGCTGGTGCCTGTGTGCCTCATCTGGGGATCTGGGGATCAAACTGTCCCACCTGCTGCCAGTACCTATAGGCATCATCAAGGAACCTGATGACAGGCTCACCCCACCTGCCACCAGCATCCACATGTGCTGCCCGGGTCCAGAAGATTGACCCATCCTGGGTCTTCTTTATTTCTGAATGATAGCTTTGATGGGTATAGTATTCTTGTCTGAAAGGGTTTTTTTCCCCACTCTGAGTATATCATCCTATTCTCTGCTGACCTGTAAGGTTTCTGCTCAGAAATCTACTATTAATCCCTTATATATGTGACTTTATACTTTTCTCTTGCTATTTTCAGAATTCTATCTTGCTTTTTGACTTTTGACAGTTTGACTATAATATGCCTTGAAGAAGGCCTTTTTGGGTTAAATCTATTCGAGAATCTTTGAGCTTCCTGTATCTGAGTGTCTAAATCCCTTGTACAACATGGGGAGTTTTCAGCAGCACAGGTACACATCATCCAGAGGCCTAAGAATGGGCTCACTCTGCCTGCCACATGTGGTGACCACATGTGTCTCCCAAGGGTCTCGGGACCAGTTTACCCAGCTTGCCATCACTGATGTCTGTGTACAACACTGGAGGGCTTGAGGGTTGACCTGCTGCTGCACTTCCACACAGTCCCACCTGGGGACCAAGGACCTGCCTGTTCATTCCACTGCTGCTACCACTGGCACCTGAGCATGTCATCTTGAAGTCTGAAACCTGACTCACCTGGACTCACCAGCATCAGCACCCATATACACTGCCTGGGACCTGAGGACCAGCATGCCTGGCACACTGTTGCCACCACTGGTGCTCAAAGACCAGCCTGCCTGATGTCCCTGTCCCCAGTACAGCCTTTCCACAGACTCCATTAACCACTACAATGTCAGCCACTGAGGAACTCATAGATAACACTGATGCAAATGAAAACATATGGAGACTCCATTACTGTGCCCACACAGAATCAAAGCCAAAGCACTCCACTCAAACAACACTATAAACACATCTACAGGAAAACATCTTTTTATCTTTATTTATTTATTATTTTAATTTTTTCTTTTTTCTTTTTTTTTAGAGACAGGGTTTCGCTATGTTGCCCAGGCTGGTGTGCAGTGGCTATTCACAGGTGCGATCCCACTACTGATCAGCATGGGAGTTTTGACCTGCTCCATTTCCAACCTGGGCCGGTTCACCCCTCCTTAGGTAACTTGGTGATCCCCGGAGGTCACCATATTGATGCTGAACTTAGTGTGGACACCTGATCAGCATAGCACACTACAGCCCAGAACTCCTGGGCTCAAGTGATCCTCCCACCTCAGCCTCCTGAGTAGCTGGGACTACAGGCATGCGCCACTGCACCTGGCTTTTTATTTATTTTTTTAGAGACAGGGTCTTGCTCTGTCACCTAGGCTGGAGTGTAGTGGCACAATCATATCTCACTGTAACCTCAAACTCCTTACAAGCAATCTCCCTAACTTAGCCTCCTGAGTCACTGGGATTATAGGCATAAGCCACCATGACCAGCAGAGGAAAATGTCTTTCCCTATGAAAGTCAATAAATAAAATTGGAGACTGTTACATTAGCTGTGCTGATATCAATATAAAGACACAGAAACTTGAAAAAGCAAGGCAACATGGTACCTCCAAAGAAACACAATAATTCTTTAGTGTAAATCCTAAAGAAAATGATATCTATGCAATGGCTAAGAAAAATTCAAAATGATATTAAAGAAATTCAGTAAGACACATGAAAACATAGATAAACAATTTCCATAAGAAATATGGAAAAATAATTTATGCTCTGAATGAGAAACTCAACAAAAAATAGATATTATTAAAAAGAACCAAACAGAATTCTTGAAACTGAAGAAATCAATGAATAAAATAAAAAGACAGCTCAGTGCTCTAACAATAGACCAGATCAAGAAGAGTAATTTCTGAACTCTAAGACAGGTCTTTTGAAATAACCCAGCCAGACAAAAGGAGAGAAAAAGAAATAAAAATGAGTGAATAAAATCTATGTGCCATATTGGTCATCATAAAGCAACCAAATATTTAAATTTGGAAAGATCTAGAAAAGATGGGTAAAAGCATAGGAAATCAATTTAATGAAGTAATAACTGAAAAATTCCCATGTCTTGCAAGAGATTTAGACACCCAGATACAGGAAGCTCAAAGATTCTCAAATAAATTCAACTGAAAAAGGACTTCCTCAAGGCATATAATAGTCAAACTGTCAAAAGTCAAAGAGAAAGACAAAATTCTGAAAATAGCAAGAGAAAAGTATAAAGTCACATATATAAAGGAATCTCTCTCAGATTAATAGCAGATTTCTGAGCAGAAACCTTACAGGTCAAGAGAGAATAGGATGATATACTCAAAGTTCAAACAACAACACTCTTTCAGACAAAATTCTATACCCAGCAAAGCTATCCTTCAGAAATGAAGAAGAAATAAAATCTTTCCCAGACAAGCAAAAACAGAGGGAATTTATCACCACTAGACTAGTTCTAAAAAAAAAATGCTTAAGGGAGTATTACATCTGGAAGCAAAAGGATGATGTCTACCATTATGAAAACACACATGTATAAAACTCACTGGTAGAGCAGACACACAAATGACAAAGAGAAAGGAGTCAAATGTTATCATTACAAAACCCTCACCAAACTGTAAAGGTAAGCAATAAAGAGAAAGAAAAGAACAAAGGATGTTCAAAAAATCAAAACAAATAACAAAATGACAGGAGTAAGTTCTTACCTATCAATAACGACCCTGAATTAAACAACACTTTAAATTCTCCAGTTAAAAGATATAGACTAGCTGAATGGCTAAAAAATAAGGTCCAACTATGTCCTGCCTCCAAGAAACTCACTGCATCTGTGAAGGTACGTATAGACGGAATGTGAAGGAATGGAAAAAATATTCCACACAAATGGAAACCAAAAGTGTGCAGGAATAGCTACACTTGTATCAGACAAAATAAACTTTAAGACAAAAACATAAAAAGAGACAAAGAAGGTCATTTTATAATTAATGATAAAGAGATCAATTCAGCCAGAGGATATAACTGTGTGTATATATGTATATAAGTATATATATATACACATACATATATATACACATATACATATATATGCCTATGTATATACATAGGTATGAACACCCAACAGTGGAGCACTGAGATACGTAAAGCAAATATTAGAGCTAAACAGAGAGACAGACTTCCAGTACAATAATAGTTGGGAACTTCATCTCCCTTTTGGTATAGGGCAGATCATGTTGACAGAAAATCAACAAAGAAATACTGAACTTAGTCTGCATAATAGTCCAAATGAACCTAATGAATATTTGCAGATTATTTCATCAGCTAAAGAATACACATTCTTATCAGCACAGGGAATGTTCTCCAGGACAGACGCTATCTTAGGCCATAAAATAGGGCTCAACAAATTTTTTAAAATTTGAAATACTGTTAAGTATCTTCTCAGAACACAATGAAAGAAGAGGAACCTTGGAAATTGTACAAATACATGAAAATTAAACAACACGCTCCTGGACAACCATTGGGCTGATGAAGAAATTAAAAAGGAAATCAAAATTTCTGGAAACAATGAAAATGGAAATATAACATACCAAAACCTAAGGGCTACAGCAAAGCTTGAAGCAATAAATGCTTACATCAAAAAAGTAGAATAATTTCAAATAGCCTAACAGTTCACCTGAAGGAATTAGAAAAGCAACAACAAGGCAGAGCATGGTGGCTTATGCCTGTAATCTCAGCACTTTGGGAGGTCAAGGTGGGTGATCACCTGAGGTCAGGAGTTTGAGACCAGCCTGACCAACATTGTGAAATCCTGTCTTTACTAAAAATACAAAATTAGCCGAGTGTGGTGGTGCATGCCTGTAATCCCAACTACTCAGGAGGCTGAGGCAGGAGAATCATTGAACCCAGGAGGTAGAGGTTGCAGTGAGCTGATATTGCATTACTGCACTCCAGCCTTGGCAACAAAAGTGAAGATATGTCTCAAAAACAAAAACAAAAAAGAAAAGCAAGAACAAACCAAACCTAGAATTAGTAGAAGGAAAAAAATAATAAAGATCAGAACAGAACTAAACAAAATAGAGGCTAAAAATTATAAACAATTAACAAAATAAAATCTTGGTTTCTTAAAAAGAAAAACAAAATGGATAAACCACTACTTAGACTAAGTAGACTGAAAAAAGAGAGAACACCCAAGTAAATAAAATCAGGAATAAAAAAGGAAACATTAAAATTGATACCACAGAAATACAAGGGATCTTTAGAGACTATTATGAACAACTATATGCAAACAAATTGGAAAGCCCAGAGGAAATGGATAAATTTCTGAACACATAAAACCTACTAAGATTGTTCCAGGAAGAAACAGAAAACCTGAACAGACCAATAATGAGTGAGGAGATTGAATCATTAATAAAAAGTTTCTCAACAAAGAATAGCCCATGACCAGATGGCTTTACTGCTGAATTCTACCAAACTTATAAAGAAGAATTAAAACAAATTCTTCTTAAATTATTCCAAAAAGATTGAAGAGGAGGGAATTATCCTAACCCCTTCTATGAAGTTAGCATTACCCTGATACCAAAATCAGACCAAAGGCAGAAAAGAAAACAACAGGCCAACGTCTCTGATGAACATAGATACAAAAACCTTCAACAATATACTAGCAAACCAAATCCAATAACACATCAAAAGGTAACACATGATCAAGTGGGATTTATCCCAGGGATGCAAGGTTGGTTCAACATGTGCAAATCAACAAATGTTGAACATCTGTTGCACATCGCATCAGCAGAATGAAGGACAAATCCTATGATTATCCTGGCAGATGTAGAAGAACATTTGGTAAAATCCAATATCCCTTTATGCTAAAAACCCTCAACAAATTAGGCATGTAAAGAACATCATACTAAATGGGGAAAGGCTCAAAATCTTTCCCTTATTCTGAAAGTTCTACCTCGAGCAATCACACAAGGTAAAGAAATAAAAGGCATCCAAATAGGAAAAGAAAAAGTCAAATTGTCCCTCTTTGCAGACCACATGACCTTCTATACAGAAAAACCTAGAGACTCCACAAAGAAAACCTCTTAGAACTGATAAATTTTGTAAAGTTGCAGGATACAAAATAAAAATACCAAAATCAACATACCATACCAAAATACCAACATATTCTACAAATCAATAATGAACTAGCTGAAAAAGAAATTAAGAGAGCAATCTTTTTTATAATATTTAACAAAAAATACCTAGGAATAAATTTAACCAAGGAAGTGAACAATCTCTACAATGAAAATCACAAAACACTTATAAAAGAAACTGAAGATGACATAAGCCAGTGGAAAGACATCCCATGCTCATGGATTGGAAGAATTAATATTGTTAAAAAAAACCATACTACCCAAAGCAATCTACAGAATCAATGCAATCCCTATAAATACCAATGACATTTTTCACAGAAACAAAAAATCCTAAAATTTGTATGGAACCACAAAAGATCTCAAATAGCCAAAAGAATACTGAGGAAAAAGAACAAAGCTAGAGGCATCACACTACATGACTTTAAAATATACTACAAAGCTATAGTAACCAAAGCAGCATGGGATTGGTATAAAAGGAGACATACAGACCAAAGGAACAGAGTAGAGAACCCAAAAACAAATCCACATATTTACAGCCAAGTGACTGAGAAAGCATCAAGAACACATATTGGGGAAAGGATACTCTCTTCAATAAATGGTGTTGGAAAATTGGATATCCATATGCAGAAGAAGGAAACTAGTCCCCCATCTCTCCTCTTATTAAAAATTAACTCAAAACAGATTAAAGAATTAAATGTAAGACCTGCAATGACATAATTAATGAATCAAGCAGAAGGGTAATGCTTCAGGATATTGGTCTATGCACAGATTCTGTGGCCAAGACTTCATAAGCACAGGCAACAAAAACAAAAATAGATATTTGGGATTATATTAAAAGAACAAGCTTCTGCACATTAAAGGAAACAAGAGTGAAAAGACAAGCTGCAGAGTGGGAGAAAATATTTGCAAACTATTTTTCCAACAAGGGTTTAATATCCACAATATACAAGGAGCTTGAACAACTCAACATCTAAAAAAACAACCCATCTCATTAAAAAGTAGGTAAAGGATCTAAACAGACATTTCTCAAAAGCAGACATACAAAATGGCCAATGGATGTATGAAAAAAACGCTCGACATCACCAATCATCAGGGAAATGCAAATCAAAACCACAATGAGATATCATCTCACTGCAGTTAGAATAGCTATTATCAAAAAGACAAAAAAATAGCAAGTGCCAGCAAGGATCTGGAGTGAAGGGAATCTCGTACACTGTTGGTGGGGATGTAAACTAGCATGGCCATATATGGAAACAGCATGGAAATTTCTCAAAAAACTAAAAACGACGCTATCATTAGATCCAGCAATCCCACTACTAGGTATTTATCCAAAAAAGGGATAACTGTACCCCCATGTTTATCACAGCACTATTCATAAAAGCCAAGATAGGGAATCAGCCAAAGGATCCATCAGCAGATGAATAAGAAAATGTGATACAGATACACAATGGAATACTATTCAGACACAAAAAGAATGGAAGGCTGCATTTGCAGCATTGCGGATGGAACTACAGGTTATTATGTTACATGAACTAAGTCAGGCATAGAAAGGCAGATACTGCATGTGCTTAATCATAAGTGAAAGTTTAAAAAAGTTGATCTCATGGAGGTAGAGTAGAACCATAGTTACCAGAGGCTGGGAAGTGGAGGGGGGAATGAAGAGAAGTTTTTTAACAGATACAAACATACAGTTAGATAGAAGAGATCAATTCTAGCGTTCAATAGCACAAATGGGGTGACTACAGTTAACAGTAATTTATTGTATATTTGTAAATAGCTAGAAGAGAAAATCTGAACTGTTCTCGGCACAAAGAAATGATAAATGTTTGAGGTGATGGATATCCTAAACACCCCGACTTGATCATTTCACATTGTATCCATGTGCCCAAATACCACATGTACCCCATATACATCTGTACAAGTGTGTAAAAAAACACAAAACAGTAGAATGAACAAATGTGGTATATTCACACCATGGAATTCACACAATAATGGAAACGATAAACAACGGCACTCCACCACATAAATTTCATAAACATTATGGGTCAGAGAAACCATGGGGTAAAGCACACAGAGCAGGGATGCCGTTTATACAGGGTCCCCCATGCATGCTGGTTTACATTCCCAGATTTTGTTCCAAAAGTCCCACATCCCAGGAAACACCTCAATCCTGGACAAACTGGATTGCTGGTCACCCTATATTTGTAAAAAGTTTAAAAACAGGCAAAACGTGTCTTAGAAATCAGGAGACTGCTTGGCTGGGTTTGGAGGTACTGATTGGATGGGGGGCCCAGGGCTCTTGCAGGTGCTGAGAATGTTTTGTTTCTGGATCTGGGTGGGGGTTACACAGTTACCTTGTTTGTGGCTACCTATCAAGCTGGACACTTTGATCTGGGCACTTTTTCTGTGTTTTACTTCAGTGAGGAAAAATGTTAACACTATTGAGAGGCAGGTTGGTGTAGTGGTTAAACCTGCATGCCCTCGAACCAGTTAACGAGGCTTAAAATCCCAGCTCTGACAACAGGTATTAGCCAAACTCGCCTTAGCCTCCTGACCTGGGCCAGGGCTGGGGACACCATGTGTCCAGATTTCCTTAATGTGGCACTAGTGGGTGCCTGCAAAGGGTAGAGACCAAAAGCATCGCAGCTGCAGAGAAGGGACACCAGCTGCACTGGGGGGTAAGAGGGTGGTATTGGGGGATCAGGACCCCCATGCCCCAATTCTAGGGTCCTGGCACCTCCCCAATCCCCCTTCCTCCCCAGAAGTCCAGAATTTTCAGCCTCAGTCCTGAGATTTGTGCCCACAAAACCAAATATTTCTAACTGATGAAAGCCACTTCTTGCTACAGAGAAACCACAGGGCAACCTGGGTAATTTGAGCAGAGTTCTCTAGCCTCCCTAAGTTTACTCCTCTGTACCGTGGAGAGGATAGAAGAAAATCGCAGTGAGTGATCACAGTGAATTCACTGGGCACTATGCACCAGTCTTGGCTAAGAACTTGAGGCACTCAAGCCTGACAATACTCTGAAGTGCGTACTGTGCCTCTCCCCATTTTACAGATTCAGAGACTAAGGCACAGAAAGGTTAAGTAGCCTGCCCAATGTCACAGAGCTCTGGAGCAAGAGTCTGCTCCAGAGCCTGGGACTCCCACACCACATCCCACCCATGTGTGGACCTCGCACATAATAGGCACTCAGCACCCAGTGGCTCGGCCTTGCTGTGGTTGTGGAATCTCCTGCCTCCCAGAGCCCCAGCCTCAGCCCTGGACTCACGATGGCCACTCCCTGTACCAGGGGGAACTGCTCGGGATCCTGCAGGGCTTCACAGATGGTAGTCACTATCCTGTCGATTAGCCTCTGACACTCTTCATAGGGCTTCAGGCGTTTCTGGATAAACCAATCCAGCTTCTGAGCAGGCACCGAAGGCAGCTGGGACTCCCCATTTCCCATGGCTCCCAGACGGCTGCCGAGACGGTGAATGGCAGGATGAGAGGCAGAGGACTTCTTGCTGCTGCCCAGAGCCAGGAAACTGAAACTGGCTTCTAGAGGCCTCTCCCCACCCCCTTCAGTGAGCCTATCAACTCCAGCATCCGGAGCAGGGAAACCAAAACTAACTCAAGCTCAGAGCCTCTGCCCCACCCACTGCAGCGGGATTTACCGACACCTGCCCCGCAACAGGGAAACCAAAACTAACCCAAGCCCAGAGCCTCTGCCCCACCCACTGCAGCGAGATTTACCGACACCTGCCCCGCAACAGGGAAACCAAAACCAACCCAAGCCCAGAGCCTCTGCCCCACTCACTGCAGCGAGATTTACCGACACCTGCCCCGCAACAGGGAAACCAAAACCAACCCAAGCCCAGAGCCTCTGCCCCACTCACTGCAGCGAGATTTACCGACACCTGCCCCGCAAAAGGGAAACCAAAACTAACTCAAGCTCAGAGGCCTTCCCTGTCCCCTGCAGCGTGGTGATCAGCCCTTCAGGGGCTCCCCAAAACTTGAGGTTAACCAAACGGACTCTAGAACCCCATTGTGAGGGCTTCATACCTGCTAGACATCTGTCCTTGAGCACCATCTTTCCTTCTTTGTGCCTCAATTTCCCCATCTGTAAGCTGGAGAAAAATTGCAGCTCTCCCATAGGATTAGCTTGATGATTAAAGAATACCTGCAAAGTGCTCAGAAGCAAGAGGCAGAGGTCATCTTTTGTGGCTCTGTCCCTTTCTCTCTGTTCTCAGGGGCCAGGGAACTCCGATTCAGGGAGAGCAGCAGAGAGGAGAAAGAGACCCCCAAGAGAGGAAATTGACTTGCTAAGGGACACACAGCAAAGCAGGGACCTCGCTGGACTCAGGTTTTGGTCTGCTTCCGGGTAAATACAGGCCCCAGGGTGGTCAGCAGATGGGAGCCTCTGTGTGTCCAGTTTCTCAGCACACTTGTGGACAGCTGCAGGACCGTATGAGACACTTGGCCGGCTCCACAAGCGCAAGAAAACACGCCCCAACTGCATGAGCCAGAAAGGAGACAGACATGCGATTCCTACACCCAGAGCTTTGAAAACAAAACACACAGAGGACTTTCAGCTGCCTTGTCCCAGCTATAATAATTCACAGAGAAGGCAAGATTCCCTAAGATGTAAGGGGAACCAGGGCCCTTCCATGCTGGGATGGTTAATTTTATGTGTCAATTTGGCTGAGCCCAGGAACCCAGATATATGGTCAAACATTATCCTAGATCTTTTTGTGAAGGTTTTTCTTTCTTTTTTTTTTTTGAGATGGAGTCTTGCTCTGTCCTTCAGGCTGAAGTGCAGTGGCGCAATCTTGGCTCACTGCAACCTCTGCCTCCCAGGTTCAAGCAATTCTCTGCCTCAGCCTCCTGAATAGCTGGGATTACAGGCACCCACCACCACGCCTGGCGAATTTTTGTATTTTTAGTAGAGATGGGATTTCACCATGTTGGCCAGGCTGGTCTTGAACTCCTGACCTCTTGATCCACCTGCCTTGGCCTCCCAAAGTGCTGGGATTACAGGCATAAGCCACCGTGCCTGGCCCTGTGAAGGTACTTTTTAAAATGAGATTAACATTTACATTGGTAGATTTTTTTTGAGTAAAGCAGATTATCATCTGTAAGTTGTGGGCCTCATTCCAACAGTTGAAGGCCTTAAAAGAATAAAGACTGAGCTCCCCCAAGGAAGAGGGGGTTCTGCTGCAGACTCCTCGGCCTCTCCTCGCAGCAGCAACTCCGCCCTGGCTCTCCCGCCTGCCAGTCCACCCCGCCAATTTGGATTTGCCAACCTCCACAATCATGTGAGCCAACTCATTAAAATAAATATCTCAAAATAAATATCCATACCCTGTTGGCTCTGGAAAACCTTTATTAATGCACATCCTCATTAAGGTCCTCCTCTGCCCTTACTCACTTTTACTGCAACACAGAGAGGTAGGTAGACTGGGCAGGAGTAGTCTTAAGGCTCCTTTTTCAGATGAGAACATGGAGGCTCAGAGAGGTGGAAACATTTGCCCACGATCACACAGCTGGTACAGTGTCAGGCCAGGTTCTAACACTATGTAGAAAGTAAAAAGTTCCTCTTCAAAGTTTCCCTTCTTGTTAAAGAATAATAATAATAAATGTTAGGAATAATAGTCTCTTTTAAAGACTAACTTTCTTCAAAGCCTTTTTGCTTTTTGCTAGTAACTCTTTGTTAAGCCCTATCCCATGCAGCTGTTAGCTATAAAGAAATAAGTACATTCTATGTCCTTGTACTTTAACCAAGATATTCATGTTATTACTTTTCTCAGTCCTTTTGCAAGCAACTTCCTCTCCCTTCCTGATTTGGACTTCCTTTTTTCCTTTTGTTCTCCATTGCTTTTATCCATTTAAGAAAGTTTTAAGTTGTTAGCCAATCGAGTTTTAGTTTAGATTACGAGGTCTGGCTCCAACCAGCAGAGACCAGACACCGCAGTGAAGACCCAGTGTGTAAATAATAAATATTCCTGCCTGTTCCTTTGTTCAGTGTGTTCTCGTGGCAAGATTGCTGACAAAAAGCACCCTGGAGTAGACTGGAATGGTCATGGCTCACTGCAGCCTTACCCTCCCAAGCTCAAGCAATCCCGAGTAGCTGAGACTATAGGCATACACCACGATGCCTGGCTACATTTAAAAAATTTTTGGTAGAAACAGGGGTTACTATGTCACCATGTTGCCCAGGCTGGTCTTGAACTCCTGGCCTCAAGCGATCCTCCTACCTCAGCCACTCAAAGTGCTGGGATTATAGGCGTATCTTTATTTCTGAACCATTTCAGTGCATGTTGCATGTTTTATATCCCTTTACTCCTAAATGTTTCAACCTGTATCTCCTAAGAATAAGAATATTGTGTTACAGAAGCACAGAACAATGGTCCAATTCAGAATTTTAGCATTGATACAATGCCATCATCTTATAACAGATATAATAAATGTATATTTATTATATAACATATAAATTTATATAATGTATCTAACATATACAATAAGCGTATATATTTATTATATAAATATATATTTTGCAACAGGGTCTCACTGTCACCCCAGCTAAAATATAGTGGCACAATCTCAGCTCACTGTAGCCTCGGCCTCTCAGGCTCAAGTGATCCTCCTCCTGCCTCGGCCTCCTGAGTAGCTGGGACTACAGGCACACACCACTATGTCTGGCTAATTTTTGTATGTTTTGTACAGGTATGGTGTTGCCATGTTGCCCAGGCTGGTCTCGAACTCCTGACCTCAAGCAATTTGACTGCCTCGGCCTCCCAAAGTGGTAGGATTACAGGCATAAGCCACCGAGCCCCACCATAAATATATTCTTCTACTGAAAATTTTTGCCAATTATTCCAATACTCTTCTTTATAGCACTCCCCCCCCCCCACACACACACAATATCTAGGCTCAAACGTGACATTTAGCTGACATATGTGACATGTAGGGAACCAGCCCCACATCACACCCATGGGTACCCTGATTTCGGTGGTCACAAAGGAATGAGAAAAAGACAGATTAAGAGAGAAAGTGGGACAGGGGCCATCACTCATTACTGGAGGAGACAGTGAAGGCCCCGAGCTCTGATCATTCACACGTTTCCTGGGAAGCAATGGTGCTGTTTTTACTCGGGAAGGTTCCCTTAGAGTTCATTCTTGAGGTATTTTGATGGTACAGGTTGCATAGTTCCCTGGTTGTGGTCCATCTAGTCTGTCCCTATGAAAGCCAAGATTTAAGGGTCATCTCCATGTTCTGCAGCCCAGACCCTCCTGGCCAATCCTGGGCACTACTGCTCATGGTGAGCACTGCGTCCCCTGATGGGAGCTGTCTCCTGGCCTCTCTTACTCCACGGTTAAACCATCCCCTTTGCTATCTGTGAGCCTAGCTCCCAAAGGTCCTCGCCCATCATCCTGTGATGGCATCTCCCGCACAGGAGGCTCTCTGAGCTTCTCTGTGATGCTAGCTGGTGTCCTGTTCCTGGTCCATTCCTCGTGGCCTTGGTAAAGGGGAAACTTGGCCTTTCCATGGAAAAGCATTGCCCCTGGCTCCCAAAATCATTGTCTCTGCCCAAGCATTCCCTCTTCCCTGACCTTTCATCCCATTTACCACCATCTCCCTTGGCAATTCTGGCATTTGGATCTCACTTAGCAGGGCCTACTACTTTTTCCACTCTTCTAGGAGCCCTCCTGCGCAAGTTTACACCTTCTCCTGGAGTCCTTGCCGGGTTGTGCAGCCCTGCACTCCCAGAGGACTTCCAAATCAATAAACCCTTTCTTATCTGACCTCACACTGCAGCCCCTTGATGGAGCACCCTCAAGGTCTGCTCCTGCACGTACTCATCCAACTTCTGCTGGTCACACTGGCTTGGCCCTCCAGCTACTTTGGGAGATAGGCCCTTTCCTCCCCTACGAGGCTTGTCACATCCCAGGCTGCTTTATGCTGGAACTTAAGCCTAGTCATAGCCCTTGTGGGCAGGAGAGGAGGCGGGCACAGGGACAAATGTCTTGTGGATGAGAGGACTCTGCAGGGTTTCCAAGCAAGGGACGAGGTGCTAGCTATTAACAGGGAGGGATGGATGGGTCACTTTTACAGCTCTTTGGGGTCAGGGGAATCTTGATTCAAGATTTTCAGTGGGATCAGGGTGGTAGCTCTTGCCTATAATCCCAGCACTTTGGGAGACTGAGATGGGCAGATCAGTTAAGTTCAGGAGTTCAAGACCAGCCTGGCCAACATGGTGAAACCCCACCTCCACTAAAAATGCAAAAATCAGCCAGGCGGGGTGGCATGTGCCTGTAGTTCCAGCTACCCGGGAGGCAGAGGCAGAAGAATCGCTTGAATGCAGGAAGTGGAGGTGTCAGTGAGCCAAGATTGTGCTTCTGTACTCCGGCCTGGGCAACAGAGCAAGACTCTGTCTCAAAAAAAAAAAGAAGATTCTCAGTGGCATAAACCTGTATGTCCCCATTCTATGTGTCGGGGTCCTATTCTTCTTTACCATGTAGGGTCCTGACCACATTGAGCAGATCTGATAATTCTGACGGCCTATCATCACTTTCTTATCTACCCGCTAGGATGGCTATAATCAACATGATGGACTGTGAGTGTTGGCAAGGATACGGAGAAACCGGAACTTGCATTCGCTGCCAGGGGTGGGTGGGTGCAAATGGTGCAGCCACTGTGGAAAACAGTCTAGCAGTTCTCAAATGGCTAAACAGAGTTACCATGTGATTCAGCAATTCCACTCCTAGGTATACATGAGGGTTAATTTTATGTTGTCTACTGGACTGGGCTATGGGATGCCCAGTTGTTTCTGGATGTGTCTGTGAGCATGTTCCTGGAAGAGATTAGTATTCAAATCTGTAGACTGAGTAGAGAAGACAGCCCTCACCAGGGGAGTGCGCATCTTCCAATCCACTGGAGGCCTGAATAGAACAAAAAGAGGAACAGCAAGTTTTCTCTCCCTGGGTGAGCTGAGGCATCTGTCTTATCCTGTCCTCAGATATCAATGGTCCTGGTTCTTGGGCTTTCAGGCTTGGATTGGGACTTAGTCCACCCATCTTCTGGTTCTCAGGCATCTGAATTGGTCTGAAACTACAACTACTGGCTTTCCTGAGTCTCCGGCTTGCAGATGGTGGATCACAGAACTTCTCAGACTCCAGAATCACACAAGTCAAACCCTCATAATAAATCTCTTTCTATATATATATCTCTCTATTCTAATGGTTCTGTTTCTTTGGAGAACTCTGATCAATGCAGCACACAGGTGCTCCCTGACTTATGATAGGGTCATCAATTGGGGATCACCTTTATATACTTAAAAAAATGAAAATATATGTCCACACAAAATCTCATACAAGAATATCCATAGCAGCTATTAGTCATAATAGCAAAAAAAAAAAATGGAGCAAAATAGCAAAAAAAGTGGAGACTATTCAAATGCCTGTCAATGGAAGAATGGGTAAACGAAATGTGGTCCATCCATGCAGTGGAATGTCCTTCAGTAATAAAAAGGAATGAAGCACTGACACATGCTATAACATGAATGAATCCTGAAAGCATGTTAAGTGAAAGGAGCCAGACACAAAAGGCCACATATTGTATGATGCCATTTATAGAAAACGTTTGCAATAGATGAAACAACAGTAGATTGGCGGATTCTAGGGATTAGGGAGAGAATGGGTTGGAGGAATGGGGAACGACTGCTAATGAGTTTCAGGGTTTCCTTTTAGGTTGATGAAAAATGCCTGGAATTATGATGATGAATGCATCTGTGATACAGCTCTCCTTGTGAATATACTGAATATAAGTCTTATGAATAGACACCAAGTATAAATCTTATGAATATACTCACAACACTGAATTGTACACTTTAAAAGGGTGAGAGATTTATGGTATGTGACTTATATCTCAATAAAAAACTTGGTAAAAATTTAAAATTTAAAAATTAAACACACACACACACCAATTTCTTTGGAGTCCTGCATTTCTTAGGACTCAGTTCTGGACTTGGTCTTCACTTTCTCTGTCTTCTGGCTGCAAGAAATACAAGCCTCTTTTTACACCACCAAGGAGGCCCTCTGGCTCTCTCACTCAGCTTTCAACTGATGATTGATTGCATTTAGCTTTTTGTTACTTTTATCCCCAGAGTCTTGGAAAGAGCCATCCAATTGCACTGGTTTGTTTTTTTATGTACCAGCACCGTGCTGTGTAAATATCAGAGGCTTCATAGCATGTTTTAATATTGGCCAAGGCTAGGCCTTGCCTAGAACTTTTCTTTTCCTGTTTTCCTGACTATTGTGTGTGTATTTTTCCATAAGAACATTAGTACCAACTTATCTGGTTCCATAGAAAAGCACATGTGGGTATTTTTCAACTCAGGGAGAATCGACATCTTTATGCGGTCATCTTTCTATCCAAGGGGTGGCTAGACCAGGAAGCCCCCAAAAGGTACAGTGGGCCAATATGCCAAGACCAGGGTAGCCACTGCCAAAGACTGAGGGCCTGGAATGAAATACACCGTGTTCAGATCAGCAGGACTGCCTCTCTGCCCTGCCCAGATGACAACCATTCCTTGTATCACATACCTGAGCTGCCCTGGTTCCCACCATCTCATAACTACCCTAATTCTGGAGCCATTTTGGAGGGAAGCCCAGAGTCTGTGTGGTGGGAATGGGAGGTACCCAACTGGGACCTGCCACCTGGTCTAGCCAGGAGGAGCATCACCGACTTGTGATGCCCATGCCAGGGCCACTCTGCTGCTATACAGAGCAGGTCTCTGCTGCCCCCCAGAGCTGGCTCTGAGCTCTTAGATATGCATGTGGTAGCAGCCAGGGCTGATCCAAGAGGGTTCTGAGAGTTCTAACCTTGGATTACCATCCAGTATTGACCAGGTGAGTCTAAGAAGGTGTCTGTGACATTGGTTCAGTGCCAAGATGGGGGGGACAGGGATGGAGGCCATCAGTATGGCCAAACAGGTATTAGCCCTGTCCACTGTCCCTTCACCTACTCTAGTCCCTGTAGGCCAAGCCAAAGAGGGCAGAGAACAGGCTCCAGGTCAATCAGAGAAGCTGCCTTTGGTTGCTCTCCTCTCTCCAAGAATGATGCTAACTAGGGAAGGCTCTTCTCATGCCACTCAGTCTAACATTCCTAGCAGGTAAGTTTCAGTGGCTTCCTTTCTCTGTTTCCTGTTCCTCCGTCTGGGACAGACCCACTGCCTCATCCACCTAACAGAAGGCCAGGATGTATCTGCTGGGGACTCCGCCCCTCAGCACTCAGCACCCATTCCTCTCCATGTTGCAGTGGGTGTGAGACAAGTCATATATGTCTCAGACTCCTCTGTAGCAAGAGTTCTGGCTGTAATTTAGATTCTGGTAAGAAAGGGAAGTAGGAGCCATCTTCCAGCAGCTCTAGCGGCTGGCCATCCCTGATGGATGTTTGTGGCTGAAGGAATCTGACTCCCCAGGTCTCGACTCCAGCTTTGTCCATGAGGTAGTGATGGCAGGGGCAGTGGTGGCATTGTAGCAGCAGTGGCAGCTCTCTGATCACTGATTTGGCTACAGTGGTCTAATCTTGAAACCAATAGTCCAGTGGTGGCCTCTGCCTTCTACTCCTCCAGCCGTTGCAGTGATTTAGATAAAATCCCTTTCTGCTTAAGATTCCTGGAGTGCTTTCTGTTTTCTGGGCCGAACATTGACTAGTGTGGACACTGTTGTTGGACTTGAGGTCAGGAGTGCCTCCTGCATGGACTTGGTGGGCCTTGCTCTGGAGAGCAGAGAGAAACAGGCTGAGCACAGTAGTTTGGGCACTGGCTCAGGTTTAGGCTCTGGGGATGCAGAATCTCAGCATGTTAGGAGAGAAAACAGGAACCCAATAAAATTCAAGAAGGAAAACTGAGCCACGGCATCAAGATATGTAAACTAGGGGAGGAATGCAGCATGAAAGGTGAAGAAAAGGAGGCGTCCCATGAAGAGGCATCCCATTAGGTGTCTAATAAGAGGATCCCTGTAACATGCATCTCCCAACTCCCTTTGTCTGTGTCTGTGGCAGACAAAGTAAGCCAATATGGGCATGCTTTCCTGCTAGCAATTGAGCTCAGAGAGCTCCTCAATAGCCCCAAACACGGTAAACCTGTGAGTACCTTCTCTTTTCTGCATCCAGTGCAGACATTGCTAATCAATCATGGCAGGAATACCATCACTGCCCTCTACCGCATCCATGGGAGACATCACTAATTGATTAGGTCATTCTTTTCAGCTATTTGTCCATTCTTTAAAATCCTTCAGAAGATAAGGATCCAGACAGCCAGATGACTGTAGTTGACAAATGAGATGGAAACTCTCTGCCATCCCTATATAAAGTATTTAGAGTTGGGAAGGAGAGGCCAGTGGGAGGAAGGGATGCATTGCAGCAGGAGGAAGGATATGAATTAATCTGGAGAGGAGTCAGGGAGGAGGGGGTATTCTCAGCTGGGTAGGTTGCAGCCCTGGTGCTACGAGAATAGAGTCATGGTGGTGATAGAGAAGCTGCAAATGCAGGCTGGTGTCCAACCATGGAGTCTGGATCCTAGTGTGTAAGCCATGGGAGGCAGGGGAGTGCGAGAACAGATTCACTAAAACACCCACATGCACATGTGCACACACACACACACACACACACACACACACACGCACAGTCTCTCTCATCTGGCAGGGGACCCTGAATTTCCTCATGCTGAGGGCTGGTGTCCATCTTCTCTTCATCCAGTAGGACCGCTGCTTTTCTCCACTTCACACAGCAGCCTGGGGAGGTACAGGAGATGTTGGTAAACCTATCCTTTCTGCAGAAGCTGAGACCACACAGCCAGATGGGAAAATGGAAGCACAGGGGCACACCTGGTGCCATCACTGGGCCCTGCCCGTCCCCTGACCATGCTCCTCCCTTACCCCCAAAGGGTACTTCCTTTGGCACCTTAGCTCTCTCACCTTCACTGGCCATGGCTGGATAGGAATGCCATTCCGTCCCATGCAGCACAGGGCAGACATGCAGGCTGCAGCTTCCTTGGCCAGCAGGTCCCAGCGGGCACTGTGGCCCAGGTTTCCTGTTGGGTCAGCCGGATCCAGGATGATAGGCCTGTAATTCCCAACCAGGGTTAGTCTTATTCCTGGCAACATCTAGGTGTCCACCTGTGACTCTGGTTGGGCTATTTTCCCTTTTCACCTAACACTTTGCAGGGGCTAGGGCCAGGGCTCAGAGATTCCTCAGTACTCCAGGCACACACTGCAGGGTAGGTATAGAAAATAGGACACACACGGCCACTTTTCCATTCTGCGTTCAGGCAAACATTACTAATCAATCACAGTGCTATCACTTACCCCTTCCTTCTTCAGGGAAGGCATTGTTAATCAATCACAGCACTAGTTCCACAACTCTCCCTTCCTTCATGCATGACACAGGTTGAGTATCTCTTGTCTAAAATGCTTGGGACCGGAAGTGTTTTGGATTTCGCATGTTTTCAGATTTTGGACTCTTTGCCTTACCAGTTAAGAATCCCTAATTTGAAAATCCGAAAACGAGCATTTTGTTGATGGTCAAAAAGCTTCAAATTCTGGGCCACTTTCAGATATTGAATTTTTGCATTCAGGATGCTCAACCTTCGGACACCACTAGGGTTAGGGTACAGCCTTGTCAACACATCATTCTGAGTAGCCACTACCCACTGACTGGAGATCATCCTAAGTCTGCAAGAGCATCTCTGTTATTTCTGTACCCATTTCAGAGGTAGGCAAAATCCCAAAGAATGAAAGTGCTTATGGCATCTGGGTGGGTTCACGGGTAGGGTGGCCAGATTTAACAATACAAATGCAAGGCTAGGCACAGTGGCTCACACCTATAATCCCAGCACTTTGGGAGGCCTCGGCAGGCGGATCCAGCCTGGCCAACATAGTGAAAACCCCGTCTCTACAAAAAATACAAAAATTAGCCGGATGTGGTGGGGTGTGCTTGTGGTCCCAGCTACTCTGGAGACTGAGGCAGGAGAATCCCTTGAACCTGGGGGGCAGAGGTTGCAGTGAGCCAAGATCGCCCCACTGCACTCCAGGCAACAAAACAAAACAGAAAAAAAAAAACCCCACAAATAAACAGGATGTCCTGTTAAATTTGACTTTCAGATAAACAGTGAATAAGTTTTTAAGCATAATTATGTCTCAAATATGGCATGGAGCATACTTGTACTAAAAAGTTATTCATTGTTTATCTGAAACTCAAATTTAACTTGGGGTCTTGCAGTCTATCTGGTAATCCTATTCTGGGGTGATCAGAAAATTGACTGCTTGTCCCCCAGTTGCTAAGAATATAACTTCTAGAAAGGAACTCAGTTCTAGGAAGAGCATTTTCCTATCTCTGCTCTGCAATCTAGAAAGTGGGGAGAGTGAATGATCCCAGGTTATTGGGGAACATTGGGGGTAGACCTGAACCTGGGCTTCTGAAGCTGCTGTTTCAGGAAGTCTCCAACAGTCTTGTCCTCAGTATTGTAGTTAATGGTCCAGTAGACACAGAGCTGGCGGTACTGGGTGACCAGCTCCAGGACTGTGCGGAAGCCCTCAGCCATGTTGAACTGGGGGTCCTTCCCGCCCTGCTCCCAGGCATACACAGTCAGGAGTTCCAGCCCATGCTGTGGGGGTAGGGAGCCTCTCCCCTTGGGCATCTTGTTGCACTGGAGAACAAGGAGAAAGAAGATGTGTTGGTCCATACTGGCACTGATGAGGTACAGAAGGGATCCTTCTGGACTTGGCAGAGCAACCCCCAAACTTTTATTGAGCATCTATATGTGCCAGATGCCTTGCCATGCCTTATCCCATCACATCCTGGGCCATAGTTTTATCAGCCCCATTTTATGGATAAGAAAACTACAGTCCCACAGCTAGGATATAGCACTCTTTCTGCTCTTACTAACCAGGATCCTGGCCAGGGCTGGGCCCTACCTCCTCCCGGGAAAGTGCTCCAGAGACAGAGGACAGGTGCTGGGGAAGGTGGCCCATCCCTGTGCCGAACCTGTTGGTACCAGTGCTTCACCAGCCGGATCAGGCTCTTCAGCTTGGTGGGGCGAGAGATGATGAAGTCCCTCTGCAGCTCTGTGAAGCAGGTGGAGTACTCGCCCGCATTGCTGTAGCTGTGGATGAGGTCAACGTAGACCTGAGAGCTGGGCCTGGAGCCAGAGACCAGCTGGCCTGGAGACGGGGAGATTGTTACCATCACTCCGGTTCCCACAGTGTCCCAGTGGGGCCAAATTAGAAAGGACTTCTGAGATCCCCTACTTCTTGGGTGTTTTCCAAAGGGTGGTTTGGGATCCACTGGGAGGCCACAGGGTGTATTTAGGTGGACACAGATGTGGCATGACCCACATGAAATCCCTGATGACAGTCATACTCCCTTTTCTGCCTCCTTTCAAACCATCTGCATACTCATCTTGGAAAAAGTCTCAGCTGGGAACTAACCTATCTTTAAGACCTCTTTAATACTTGCTTATCTTTCTCTCTAACCAAGGGAGGGCAGGCCTCAGTGTTACAGCCTCCTCCAGGTAATAGAGCTGTATATGGAGTTGACATCACCATTCTGGTTACATTGCACTTAAAGGCATTCCTTAACATCCAATTCTTGCTTGCTGAACTGAGGAACTGAACAGATTCAGATAAATTTCTAGGCAGGGTGCAGTGGCTCAGGTCTGTATTTCCAGCACTTTGGGAAGCCACTGCAGGGGGATCATATGAGGCCAGGAGTTCCATACAGGCTGGGCAACATAGTGAGATCCCCATCTCTACAAAAATTCTATAAATTAGCCAGGCATGGTGGTGTGTACCTGTATGTAGTCTCAGCTTCTCAGGAGGCTGGGGCAGGAGGATCACTTGAGCCCAGGAATTTGAGGCTGCAGTGAGTCATGATCACACCACTGCACTCCAGCCTGGGTGATAAAGTAAGACCCTGCCTCTTAAAAAAAAAAAAATTCATGTGATTCCCTCCCTTGGTCACCTGCTCCCTCAAACTGAGAAACCAAATAAATTCAGATGCGAGGGATTTTCTCACTCTGCAAACTCTACTAACCAAACTGAGAGTTGAAGAGATTGAAGAGAGTTGTGTCTATTTTGTTCAAGGCTTTATTTTTGGTGCCTGGTAGAGCACTAGTCAGGGCTGAGAACCAGTGAGCCAAGCCATTCTCCTCAAGCGTTAGAGACCAGGAAAGTGTGGGTCGGGCGTGGTGGCTCACACCTGTAATCCCAGCACTTTAGGAGGCTGAGGCGCGTGGATCACCTGAGGTCGGGAGTTCGAGACCAGCCTGACCAACATGGAGAAACTCCGTCTTTACTAAAAATACAAAAAATTAGCCAGATGTGAGGGTGCATGCCTATAATCTCAACTACTCAGGAGGCTGAGACAGGATAATCGCTTGAAACTAGGAGGCAAAGGTTTCGGTGAGCCGAGATTGTGCCACTGCACTCCAGCCTGGGCAACAAAAGCAAAACTCCATCTCAAAATAAAAAAGAAAAGAAAGAAATCAGGAAAGTGAGGATCAGAGAAGGGAGTGTATATGCCTACGGTCACACAGCAAACCAGCACCCCTGGCACCTTTCCTTGGTTGGCTCTATGCTCACACTCTTTCTGGAGCTGATCTGGGTCTCACTTGCCTCTCCAGCTGTGGACTGAGGTTGTATCCAGTGCCATGGACGGTGTGACTTTAGGCACAGAGTAGACGCAGGTACTGGATGAACTGAAAAAATGGATGTGCAGCAGGAGGAGACAGGAGGCACACACACATGCAAAGCTGGGAATGTGCAAGAAATGTCCATGTCCTTACTGTCACCGGGACTCAGGACAGGACGTCCCTTGTTCAAGGTCACCCAGCACGTTGGTGGAATAGCTGGGACTAGAACCCAGCTTGAGGCCGCTGTCGGCCCACAGAATGCTTATGTAAATTAGAAAAAGGTGACCTCTTCTTTAAATACTTGGCGGGATAGTTGTGATGAACATATGTGACTACAACATCTGCAGTGACACGAACAGGTGTGGCCTGGTTGTGCACTGTGCAACCTCTGCAACTGCCATGGCAGCCCTGCCTCTGTATTTCCCCCTCTCAGACCTATGCCAGGGCACCTCACCTAGGGCGTCAAAGGCTGGAAGCACGTCAAAGTCCACACTCTGGTCCAGCATCGTCTGGGATGTCAGTGAGAAGCTCAGCACGCGGGGATTCTCCCATTTAGAGACCTCAAACTTGACCTCGAACTGCTGCTCCCGTTGACAAGCCTCCAGCTGGGCTCGGATCTCAGAGATGATCTCGGCCCGCTTGTTCCCCTGCTCAGCGAACTGACTGAAGCAGCTGAGGAACACCACGAGGTCGGCGTCTGAGCGGCCTCGCAGAGCTGTGCCTTTGGCTGAAGAGCCGCCCTGGAGAGGACATGGCAGGTGGCTCAACCCTTGAAGCATGGCTTGGTATCCTCTTGCCTGTGGGTTCTGAACTATGAGTTAGAAAACCTGCTGTGTGACCCTGGACAAGTAAGTCACTAACTTCTCTGTGTTATATCTTTAATATGGTAAGATTGTCAGAAAAAGAAGCATGCAAGAGATAAGTTTAAACCTTTCAACAAACGCAAACATTTCTTAATCCATCATGTTTTGTGACTGGAGAGGATTTGAGAAGTGTTTTGTTTGTTGGTTGGTTTTTGGGACCTGCAGCTCCCAAGCCTGTAGGCACCTGGAAGGCTTTTACAAATGATTAATGGCTGGCTCCCATCCCCCCAAGACTGTGATTTAATTTTTCCTGGGTTAGGGCTTGGGCATCAGCATATTTTTTTTAAAAACTGTGATTCCAAGGTCAAGCCTGGGAAGCCAGGGTTGAGAACCAGTGAGCCTAGCCACTCACCTCAAGTGTTAGGAATCAGGAAAGTGAGGATCAGAGAGGGAGTGTATATGCCTACGGTCACACAGCAAACCAGCATCCCTGGCACTCCTCCTTGGTTAGCTCTATGCTCACACTTTCTGGAGCTGATCTGGGTCTCACTTGTCTCTCCAACTGTGGACTGAAGATGTATCCAGTGCCATGGACGGTGTGACTTTTTTTATACCCCCAGCGTCCTTCCACCTGGGATCAGCGTCCTGGTGTTCTTTGGAGGGACCACCCCTACCCCACACTCAGCCCCTGAGGTCTAGGCAGGGACCGCTCCACCATGTGACCCAGTCTTGGCCACTCAGAGCATAGTATCTCACTAGCACCACAACTGGTTTGGGGGTCGGTAGGTTACCCAAGCCAGGCCAATGAGACTCAATTCCAAGACTTTTATTTGAATTTTAAGGAAAAAACTCCCCTTTCTGGAAGCTTAGAGTTTCTAAATACCACCATATGTTAAAGGCCTATCCAAGACATGAGAAAGAAGAACCAAGAACTGGAGAGAAAAACTGAGTCCTGATGATGCTGCCTGGGCTCCTGGATCTAGCTATGCCTGAAAGCAGCCCTACCCCAGGACTTTCCAGTTACATCAGCCAATACATTCCTTTGTTGCCTGTTTTGAGTTGGGTGTCACTAGCAACTAAAAGAGACATTTTGGGCATATCTGAACCTCTCTCTGCCATCCTCCCATGACCACTTTCAGGCTCTTTCGTGATGCCTGGCTTTGTGCTGGTTGCTACGAGGGCCACAGAAGTGGGTCTGGCCTGGCCCCGGCCTGGGAGAGATCAGCAGCTTGCAGGACATTGCTTGCCTACAGCTCCCTGAGGACTCACCTTGACCACCTTGATCACTTTGATGGGAGAATTCCGGAAGCAGTTTTCCCTCAGAAATGAACAGATGGTATCAACGGCCTTGTTCACCTGGGCCAGGAACTGGCGGTTGGGCTGGAGAAATTCACTGATGAACTTGTCAAGGTCCCCAGCTGGGGTTTGGTAAAGGAGGGCGGGCTGCAGAGAGAATCCAGGTGGGGCCAGCTCGAGACGGAACTCCCAGTGCTCACCCAAGCCCTGCCCCTTGATGTCCTCTAAGGACAAGATGCTCACTGCCTCCTATGTCCCTCTTGCCTTCTGAGCTGGTTGTTAGGTTCTGAGGTAGCATCAGAAGGACCTGAGATTGAGTTTTGGTTCCAGCACCAATACACAGCCTCAGTTTCCCCATCTTATATGAGTGCCATAATGAGCCCATGTCTCAATGGATTGTCTTGAGTATTAAACACTGGTTAAGAGACCCTGCTGTGGGCCAGGCGCGGTGCCTCACGCCTGTAATCGCAGCACTTTGGGAGGCCGAGGTGGGTGGATCACGAGGTCAAGAGATTGAGACCATCCTGGTCAACATGGTGAAATCCCGTCTCTACTAAAAATACAAAAAATTAGCTGGGCACGGTGGCGCGTGCCTGTAATCCCAGCTACTCAGGAGGCTGAGGCAGGAGAATTGCCTGAACCCAGGAGGCGGAGGTTGTGGTGAGCCGAGATCGCACCATTGCACTCCAGCCTGGGTAATGAGAGCGAAACTCCGTCTCAAAAAAAAAAAAAAAAGAGAGCCTGCTGCAAAATAGTAAATGTGATAAGATCATATCCTTTCGGGAGCTGCAAGTGGCTTACATCTCAGTTTTCCTAGAAGCCGAACCAATGGTGGGAATTCTTGTGCATGTGATTAATTGGGGCAGTGCTTGCAGGAGAAGTGGAACGCGGACAGCAGCAGGGGCAGAGAAGTAGCTCAGCAAAGCTGGGGGCTCAACTCGAGACAAGCATTTGCCTGATCCCACAGGGATCGCTGGAGCATGAATTGCATCACAGAGTCTGTTCTGCCTGGAGACCAAGTTGGGCCTTTTGTACCCCGGTGTCACCCAAGCCCTGGCTGGGACGTAGCAACCTGTGCATCTCATGGAAGGCAAGTCTCCAGAGAAGGGGTGGCTATGAGTTGTCAGCAACCAACCCCCCTAGCAGCTGGGATGGGTGCACTGGCAGGTTAAGGGAACCTGACTGGGGGGCAGGGAGCAGGGTCCTCCATCTTACCATCACATCCCAGGGCTGTATAGGTGTCCCGTCTCTATTAAGAAAGCAGGCCTGCATCCCCAGCACTGCCGCATCCTGGGCCAACAGCTCCCAGCTACCCTGGCCCACGTTCCAGGTGGGATCGGCGGGGTCCAGGACCAGGGGTCTGGGGGCACAGCAGGTGGGTGGGTGGGGAAGGTGGGAGTCAGTGAAAGAGGAGGTGGGTGGGAGGGCTGAAAAGCGTGTCAGGACCTCGGGTTGGCCCAGCCTTGCTCGGGTGCAGAAGTGGTCTCAGTTGGCTGCCCTGCTTGGAGAGCTATTGGGTGACCTGTTCAGTTGGGAAATACTATTGTATCATGTTAATAAAATGGGCCCTGGTTTCTTTGGGGACTCCTTATGTCCACACTTTCTCAGCAAACAGTCCAGAGGGAAGCAGAGTGAGGAGAGGGACTGCCACACCAGACCCGACCTTGGACCCCTCCTGGATGACTGACTCCAGGGTGACAGTGGGGAGGAGAAAGATCAGAAAGCCAGGTAAAAGGAAGCAGGTCTTCACCTGGGTTTTCGAAACTGGCCAAGAAGGTGCATTATCAGAGCTGGGTCCTCGGTGCTATAGTTGACCGTCCAGTAGACACAGAGCTGCTGATGCTGCTGCACGAGCCCCAGCACTGTCCGGAAACCTTGAGCCATGTTGAAACAGTCCTTCCTGCAGCCCTGCTCCCAGGCAAAGATGGTAAGGAGCTCCAGGGCGTAGGCTGGGGGCAGAGAGGCAGGGGCTGGTCGTTTTCCTTCATTCTGGGCCGCAACCTGTGTCACCCAAGGCCAACCAAAGATAAGTGATCAGTGGAGGTGAGCTGAGTGTGGCCATAGCACTGGGGGCAGGAAGGGAAAATAGAAAACAGAAGCCCAGAAAGGACAGAAACTGGCTGACGCTTCTCATTTTACAGGTGGGTAAACTGAGGTTCAGAGAAGGGTAGTGACTTGTCCAAGATCACACAGTGAGACTATGAGCTCAGCTGTGGCTTTTGCCTAGTGTCTCCCCTCAAGGAATTTGGAAATTTGAAAGATCCTGAGTGTGTAACTCTAATTGAAGAGGAATTGACCTACCCATCCATCACCAGCCTTTAGGAATATTTAACATTAATCGCATAGCAGGGGGTGGTTGTACAGGAATAAAGGCTGCAACATATTCATCTTGGTATCCCAGCACCCATCACTATAATTAGAAATAGTGGGTGCTCGACAGGTGTCTGTTGAATACAGGGACGCATGAATGCAAGTCAGCTTTCAGAGAGGTATTTAGTAAGGGAGCTCTGAGGGATGCTTGGAGTTCGCTGCCACTCAAAAGAGGAAACAAGGCGGAGGTGCGGTGGCTCACGCCTGTAATCCTAGCACTTTGGGAGGCAAGGTGGGTGGATCACTTGAGCTCAGAAGTTCAAGACTAACCTGGACAACATGGTGAGACTCCTATCTCTACAAAAAGCACAAAAATTAGCCAGGAGTGGTAGGTAGTGCATGCCTGTAGTCCCAGCTACTTGGGGGGCTGAGGCAGGAGGATTGCTTGAGCCCAGAAGGTTGAGGCTGCAGTGAGCTGTAATCTTGCCACTGCACTCCAGCCTGGGTGACAAAGTGAAGAAAAAAAAAGGCTAGAAAAAATGTATTGGCTGATGTAACCCCCCAAAAAAGGCTAGAAAGAATGTATTGGCTGATGTAACCCAAAAGCCCTGGAATAGATCTGTTCTCTGGCACAGCTTGATCCAGGAGCCCATAAAAAGTCATCAGCTTTTCTGTTCAGATCTTTTCTGTTCTGATGTTCTGGTTTTTATACCTTGGACAGGCCCTTACTATATGGTGGTCATTGCCGGCTCTTACGCTTCCAGAAAGAAGAGTTTTCTTTTCTAAAAGTTTAAATAGAGATGTGTAATTTAAATTTTCTAAACATTGAAATAGGTGGTGGTAACATCATAAGCAAAGGCTTGGAAGTGAAGGAAAAACAGAAAACATTTGCAGTGTCAAAAGAGAGAAGTGGATGGGCTAAAGAGAGACAGTGAATTCCAGGCACAAGAAATTAGAACTTCAGACTTGATGGAGAAAAGATTTTTTCTAATAGTGGCTTACAGATCTGGGCAGGAAATGGAGGATGGAGGAGGCAGCTTCTTCTATTTTGGATATAAGAAGCAAATAAGAAGCAGTAAGATATAAGAGGCAAATAAGAACCAATAAGAAGCAAAAGGGGGGAGATGTGGGTGTCAGGGAGGAGCTGATTGCCTGGCGTAGTTGCCACGGTAGTGGCGGCTTCCTAGGAGGAGCCAACGGCTACTCACCTGGCGGTACCAGTGCTTTACCAGTAGAATCAGGTTCTTCAGCTTGACGGGGCGAATGTTCACGAAGTTCCTCCGCAGCTCTGCAAAGCAGGCCTTATGCTCGCCCTCCTGGCAGCCACTGAGGAGCAGCCTCGAGTAGACTTGGGGATTTGGTTTGGCGCCAGAACTGAGCTGCCCTGTGGAAGTTTGAAACACCCTGAGTATGCAACTCCAATTGATGACAGCAGCATTTACTAGCCTATCCATTCACCAGCCTTTATGAATATTCTAACATTAGTCACCTAACACTGTAATCAACAATATACTATAACGCTGAATGACAATCAGAGCTTTCATTTTTTCAGCATCAATTCTGTACTGGATGCTTTTCAATAATTTTTGCTAATCCATCTAGTAACTCTGCAAGGTGGATGATCTTCTATTTATTTTTTGTTTTTTAAATTTTCCCCAAAAGCTGAAAGATGGATAATCTTGACCCAGAAAAGCTGTGTCACATAATGGTTAAAGAAGTGAGGTTTAGAGGCCAATAAGCCTGGGTTCAAATCCACGCCATGTAATTTTTGCCTCTTCCGGTCTAGTTTCCTCATCTGTAAAAGGGGATCAAAAATAGCACCTATCCTTCTAAGGCTATTGTAGTAATCAATTGAAATCTGCATGTGAAGTGCTTACAACAGTGCATAGAATACATCACATGCTCAGTAAGCAGTCATTATTGTTATTATTAACATTATCCTCCAGAAGAAGAAAAACAAGACCCGGAGAGAAGGCTAGAATTGAGTCTCGTCGCCCACTTTCATAAGACTGGCCTCTGTAATAAATAAATGCCTTCTTCATGAAAGGTGACTGCAGAAGTTACCCACTGGCAGAACAGGGCTTCAAGGAAGCTTGCTGCTAGGGCTCTGGGTCGGGGGAAAGGAAAATCCCCCGCGAGAAACTGGGACCCCGATCCTGTGCTAGATGTGGATTTGAAGTCCAAATTTACAGTATCTGCATGGTGAGGAAATCCCAGACTATTAAATAAATGCATAATCTAGCCTGGGAATTAGTGAAACTCTTGGAGTCCAGGTAGAAGCAAAATGAAAGTTGGTCCCCCAAGGAATGTTTCTCCAACCCAGAGCACAAGGAACTTCCGCTGGAAAAGCAAGTACAACCAAAGCTCCACAGACCCCAAAGATGAGTTCACATTAAAAAATTACAAACCACATGAGGACATGATGACCATGAGGGAGAGTCAGGTGACACAAAAAAATAGGAAAATTAGCACCTCAAGAATTTGAGGGTAATAGGACAATCTGAGACACTAAAATAAGCGTGTTGGCAATTATTAAAGACATCAAAGAAACTGAAACCACAATGAAAGAATTGAAGTCTATGAACAAATAACAGATTGATTAAGAAAGAGAGAAACAGAACTTCTAGAGGTGAAAAGTAATTGAAATTAAAAAAAAATTAAGGATAGGCAGCAGAGTAGACATTATTTGAAGACAGTTTATAAGCCAGAAGACAGGTCTGAGCCACTGAAAATCAGGCTGCCCTGACAGACAAAGAGATGGGAACAATGAGAGAGATGAAAAGCCATGGAGGATGAGCTAAGAAACCATCTAACAGGAGTTCCAGAAGAAGAGAACAAAGGAGATAGAGGAGAGGCAGTATTCAAAGAGCTATTGGAAGACATCTCCCTAAAACTAAAGGAAGAATTGAACTCTCAGATTCAGGAGGGAAAGCACATTTCAAAGAGGACACATTAGAGACCAACAACCGTGAAAAAATGCTCATCATCACTGGTCATTAGAGAAATGCAAATCAAAACTACATTGAGATACCATCTCACGCCAGTTAGAATGGCGATCATTAAAAAATCTGGAGACAACAGATGCTGGAGAGGATGTGGAGAAATAGGAACACTTTTACACTGTTGGTGGGAGTGTAAATTAGTTCAACCATTGTGGAAGACAGTATGGCGATTCCTCAAAGACCTAGAAATAGAAATTCCATTTGACCCAGCAATCCCATTACTGGGTATATATCCAAAGGACTATAAATCATTCTACTATAAGGATACATGTACACGAACGTTCACTGCAGCACTGTTTACAATAGCAAAGACCTGGAACCAACCCAAATGCCCATCAATGATAGACTGGACAGGGAAAATGTGGCACATATACACCATGGAATATTATGCAGCCATCAAAAACGATGAGTTCGTGTCCTTTGTAGGGACATGGATGAACCTGGAGACCATCATTCTCAGCAAACTGACACAAGAACAGAAAGTGAAATACCGCATGTTTTCACTCATAGGCGGGTGTTGAACAATGAGAACACACGGACACAGGGAGGGGAGCACTACATACTGGGGTCTGATGGGGGGAATAGGGGAGGGACAGCAGGGGGTGGGGAGTTGGGGAGAGAGAGCATGGGGAGAAATGCAAGATATAGTGAAGGGGAGGAAGGCAGCAAATCACACTGCCACGTGTGTACCTATGCAACTATCTTGCATGTTCTTCACATGTACCCCAAAACCTAAAATGCAATAAATTAAAAAAAAATAAGTCCATGCACAGATCTATCAAAGAGAAACTGAAGAATACTATGAACCAAGAGAAAGTCTTAGGGAAATCAAAACAAAATGAAGAAACAAAAAAAGACCACATGCACAAACAAAAAATAGATCATTACAACAAAAAATCAACAATGGACAGAAGACTTCTCATAGGCAACAACAGGTAAGAAGACAGCAGACCTGAGGGAAAACAAGTGTCAAACATCAATGCAAGCATGGAGGTGAAACAGACAGTGTTTTAGACAAAGCCTGAGAAAAATCTGTCACTCATAAATCCTTTCTGAAAAAGTACTAAAAGATATCTTTCTGGAAGAAGGAAAATGAATACAGAAGCAAGAACCGGCATCAAGTAGCAATGGTAAAAAATTTGTTAATTATATTAATAGGTTTTAATTTGCATAGACTGTAGAAACAAACACAAAGGAATCATCTCCCCTATTATTAGTGTCTGGCAGTTTAGTTCTAAGATATTCGTAAACCTTTGAAAAGCATTATTTTTATCTTTTAGCTTTGTGATGCCTATAGCAGGTACAATTCAATAACACATGCTTGAAAATAAAGAGTGGAGAGGGCACACCAGGAAAATGCTGACAAAAGAGGACTGCCCTAAACTAATATGAGACAAGAGACTTTCGGAATAATGAAGATTAATACTTAATAATAAAAAGAACAATCCAATAAAACATAACAATTATATGCTTATATGTCCTCAGTAACATAGCTTCCAAAGATTAAAAGCAAAACTTTATATATGAATTGCAAGGAAAAATGGATAAATCTCCATTCAGAGCAGGAGATTTTAAGATATCTCACTCAGAAATTGAGAGACCAAACAAAAAATGATCTGAGCAAAAAATCATAAGCTGGATCTAAAGGACCTGTATAGAAGTCTACATTCACCAATGGAAAGCATGCGCTTTTTTTTTTTTTTTTTTTTTTGAGATGGAGTCTCACTCTGTCTCCCAGGCTGGAGTGCAGTGGTGTAATCTCAGTTCACTGTAACCACTGCCTCCCAGGTTCAAGCAATTTTCCTGCCTCAGTCTCCCAAGTGGTTGGGATTACAGCTGCACGCCACCAGGCCAGGCTTTTTTATTTTTTTTGGATTTTTAGTGGAGACAGGGTTTCACTATGCCAGGCTGGTCGTAAACTCCTGACCTCAAGCGGCCTGCCTGCCTCAGCCTTCCAAAGTGCTGAGATTACAGGCATGATCTACCATGCCTGGCTGGAAAGCATGCATTCTTTTCAACCATGGGCAACCCAGAAAATGCCAATAAGTTCTAAAGAATTGATATCACATAGAGTATGTTTTCTGACTACAATCTAAAAAAAGATAATAAGTAAATGCCAAAAGCAAACAAAATCCCAAAATATCCATTTGGAAAGCTACTTCCAACTATTCACGGATAAAAGAACAAACAATAATGCCATAGTTAAAAGTACAAAGTATTGAGTCTGGAAAGATAGTAAATTATACGTTATACATGTGTAACAAAAGATGTGCCCTATAGCTAACGTGGTACTGAAGGGAAACGGGTAGCTTTAATTGCATTGACTAAAACCGACAGTTACTAAGCTAAGATTCACCTCCAAAAGTTAAAAAACAAAAAAATGAACCATTAAGAAAACCCTCTAAAATAAGGAAGAAAATTATGAGACATTTCTTTTAAAAAAATACCAATCAGATATGTCTACTGTTAACATTTGTTAAATCTGAATTGGGGTACATGGGTGTGTGATGTCTAGTTTTCTGTATGCTTGAGACAATTCATAATTAAAATCTTTGCAAAGTTAAAGCACTAGTTATAAGATCTGATGGTGATTACTTTCAATATCTCAAAGCAGTTTTCAATGCTTGGTCAAGCAGGAGAATTAGGATCACAAAGAAGAGGACAGGCACCCCTGTTAGGCCCCTGAGGTCCCTATCACTCTCCAAGGCACAGGCTCACCCACAGCATCAAAGGCAGGCAGCAGGCTAACATCCACCCAGCTCTTCAGGGCGGTGGACACTAGCCGGAACTGCAGAGCCTCAGGCACATTCTGCTCAGGAAACTGAAGGCTCAGGCCTGGGACCTGGTCCTGCCTCCAGGCTTCTAGCTGCGCTCGCATCTCATCAAGGATCTCTGTGCGGCGGGCTCCCTGGTCCTTGTAGTCCGTGAAGCAGTTGAGGAAGATGATGAGTTCAACATCACAGTTATCCCTTAGGTCCGTGCCCCGGCCGAATGAGCCCCCCTGTGGAGAGAAGAACAGCTCTGACCGGGGACCCTCTAGGAGCTTGGGACTCAGACTGCGATCCCATCACCTGCACCCCATCTACATCCTGGAAACTGCCCTCCCACTGATATCAGGTCTGGGCACTATGACAGAGGCCGACTGCATGCGTCCTGCGGCCTCTGAGAATCATGGCAGAGAGTCAAGTTGTATCTGCCTGCACCTGTCCTCCGATCCATGAAGCCTGAGCAAAGCCAGACCAATCTGCAGCAACAGATAATGGGGGCGGCGACCAAACATTTTATCCTACTCTCCACAGTGCCTACTGACTGCACATCTGCAAATTGAGGTCCCAAGGCCAAATAGGGCCTGCGCCTGTGCTCTGTTGCCCTCTTTCCATCAATCCCTTCCCTCTCTTCTTCTTTCCTTCCTGCAACAGACATTTAGTGAGCACTTACATGTGATGGGATATCACACGGGGTAGCACACATATGCCGGTACAGGTAAGTGCTCACTAAATGTTTGTTGCAGGAAGGAAAGAAGAAAAGAGGACAAAAAATTTCTATTCTCCTGGAACTTACATCCTGGCTGGGGGAGGGGAGGAAGGGACCATCAGTAAACATTAGGTCCAGAGAAAACACTAAGCATTGTGCAGAGAAGAAGGGAGACCACGAGTGCAAGACTGCAATTTTAAATTGTGTGGTCAGGCCTCAGTGGAAGGGGACAGAGGGAGACCAGGGCTCATCCTGCAGGACTTGAAGCCTGTGGGAAGCAGAAAAGTTCCTTTTTAAAGCTTCCTTTCTTGTTAAAGAATAAGTGTGCTAATAACTTTGTTAAGCTCTATCCTACGTAGCTGTTAGACATGCCGTGCTTACAGGCACGAGGTACATTCTACGTCCTTGTATTTAACCAAGATATCTGTGCTGGACGTGCTCACAGGCATGTCCCAGCTCTCCATTGCTTTTACCTGTTTAGAAAAGTTTTTAAGTTTTTGGCCAACTGGGTTTTAGTTTAGATTTGAGGTCTGGCTCCAGCCAACAGAGATCAGTCACAGCAGTAAGGACCACCCCAAATGCGTAAGGGATAAATGTGTGTGTTTTCCTTTGTTCATTGTACTCTCGTGGCATAAGGGCTAGCGAAGGTACCCTTCCTACAGTCCAGGAAGTAAAAATTGCGTTGCTGAAAGACCCTTTGTCTTAGTGCTAATTTTTCTCTGCAACACTGCGCATCTATTTCCAAGAAGGCCTCCTCTGCACCCTGTGAAACCATGGAGGATTTTGAGCAGAGGACAGATGCAATCTGATTCTTCTAATAGTGTTTTAAAAACGGTATCACTAAAAAAAAGAAAAACTAAGCTGGCACTTAAATATATTTATTTAAACCAGCAAACCATCCTTCCTGGGCCATCCAGTTCCCCAGCCCAGCCTCAGCTCCATTGCTGTAACTCCTTCCCCTCCCCACGGCGATCCCTCGATAACGTCCCCCTGTGTCTCCAGTGGCCCAACTCACTTTGCTGACTCTTGAGGCTTTGTGAACACACTTCTCACGGAGGCAGCGCAAGATGACATCAATGGCCCTTTTCACCTGCTCCTGGAATTGGGGGCTTGGCTTCAGGTGGTCCTGGATGAAGCGGTCCAGCTCCTTGGTGGGGATCTGAGGCAGATCTAAGGCCATTCCTGGCACAGAGGGGGCGACACTGGTTGCCCCAGCAGGACTGGGAGCTGGGCATGAAGGTGGCTTGCTCCCTGCTCTTGGGTTCACAGCATTGAGGCTCTTGCTGCTTTTAGGGGTCTTCTGGTTAGGGTCTAGCTGGATGGGGTGGCCCAAAGCTGAGCGCCCGGCACATGGAAGGCCCTGGAAGGTCGTTGAAGGAGCTGCCTCACTCAGGTGCAGAGGTTTCTGCATCAACCTGAGACTTTCTCTCCCCAGCTCCCACCCTTTGTACGGTCAGGGTGACTGAGGCTCAGAGAGGGGAATTGGGAGGGCCACAGCTAACCCACATGGCATCTTTGGGCAGATTTGAAAAAGGTGCATTTCTGAAGGGATAAACTGCAAAATGGGGCCCCTTGTGATGAGCAGAAAGGCCTAGCGGGCAGACAATAACTGCAGAAAAACAAAGGGCTCCTTCCCCAGCAGTTTCAGCTTGGTGACTGGACTGTTTTACATGCCAGCTGCCTCTGCTTTTTGTTTGTTTGTTTGTTTGAGATGGAGTCTCCCTCTGTCACCCAGGCTGGAGTGCAATGGTGGCGAGATCTCTGCTCACTGCAACCTCCACCTCCCGGGTTTAAGCAAATTTGCCTCAGCTTCCTGAGTAGCTGGGATTACAGGTGCCCACCATCATATTTTGTATTTTTAGTAGAGATGTGGTTTCACCATATTGGCCAGGCTGGTCTTGAAACTCCTGACCTCAGGTAATCCACCCACCTCAGCCTCCCAAAGTGCTGGGATTACAGGCATGAGCCACCGTGCCTGGCCGCCCTTGCTTTTTAAAGCCTGTTCAACACCATATGGCACATAGTAGATTCTCAGAAAACACTGGACACATAAACATAGTGCAAAACCGAAGGGTCCTGGGATCCCCTCACTCACCGGCCCTTCCCAGGGCTGCACTGGGCCCCCCATCCCCTGTAGAAAGCATGGCTGGTCATAGCAGGATGCTGCCTCCTGGGCTAGCAAATCCCAGTGCCAGGTTGCCCCATTCCCCACATCCCATGTGGGGTCAGCTGGGTCCAGGATCACAGGCCTGCAATTTCAGAGAGACAAGAAGGTTCTGGTTAGCAAGAAAGTCAGGATCAGGGGCTCTGGAGTGAAACAGACCTGGTTCCAAGTGCATCGCTGCTACTTTCCAGCTGTGTGACCTGGGACAGGTGATTTACCTTCTCTGAGCTTCAATTTCCTCATCTGCACAATGAAGGTAACAACAATGCCTGCCTTGATGAGCCGTCGTAGAGATTAACTTGGAGCAATGGTTCTCAACTCTGACTGCACAATGGAATCACAAGATAACAAGATCCACTCTCAAGGACTCTGCATTACACACTACAATTCAGCAACTTCATTCCTAGGAATATTTCCAGCAGATGTGCATCTGCACTGAAAAACATGTCCAAGAATGTTTATAACAGCCTGATTTGTAATAGCTCCAAGCAGAAAGAACGCAAGTGTCCATCATCATAGAATGGACAACATATTTTGATAAATTCACACAATGGAATACTATACAGCAACAAAAAAGAATGACCCATAACTATACAGCTAAATCTCAAAGATTCAATCTTGAGGAAGAGAAGTCAGACACAAAAGTACATGTGGCATGAATCCATTTAAATAAGATTTAAGAAAAAGCACAACTGTAATAATTATAAACATGTAAGTGGGGTTATGTTTGGAAGGTTACTGACTGAGAGGGGCTGTGTGGGGTGCTGGAAATATTCTGGGTGGTGATTTCTAAGCATGCAGTCTTCACACAGTCATCAGAGTGTTCACTTTCTACTATGCATCAGCAAAACATTCACACATACAACATGTGGGGTCAGGCACTGGTATATTTTTTAAAACTCCCCCAGGTAATTCTAATGTGCAGCTGGGCTGAATCCAGTGAATTAAAATGCGTACACACAGTATTTTGCTTTGGCCTACACTCAAGCCCTCAGTAGATGTGACCGCTTTTATCCTTGTTAATTATCTCACCCTGGCCCCAGGACAGGAGAGCAGGTGGTGGGATATTAGGAGGTACCTGGGTCTCTCAAGCTGCTGCTGCAAGAACCACCCGACTGCAGGGTCCTCGAAGCCATAGTTGATGGTCCAGAAAACACACAGGTGCTGATGCTGTTGGATCAGGTGCAGGACAGTCCGGAGGCCTTGGGCCAGGCTGAAAGCATCCTTCTTACAGCCCTGCTCCCAGGCGAAGATAGTCAGCAGTTCCAGGGCATAGACCGGGGGCAGCGTCTCCTTCTGCAACCCCTGTGGGAGCGCCTGTGAGAGGGCATGGCAGGGGGCTTAGAAGGCTGAAGGGGAGGAAAGAGAGCCAGCTCTCTGCAGAACCAGACTGGGACCTTCCAGGCTGAGCCGGGGGCAAGATGCTGTGTTCCAACCCTGTTTCAATCACAAGTGGCATTTCTCACCAGCCCTCACTGGTGGTTTCAGCAAAGTGGTTGGCTTGTATGAACAGAGCAAGGGAGCATCCCTGAGGCTGGGGATCAAGATATGCTGACTACATATTACCTCATGCCATACCAGATAGGTCAAAGCCCTGAATATGAAAAGAACTACAATGGGAAGCAATCTGATGGCAGGAAATAGGAAAGAATCATTTTACAAAGTCAGGACAGGGAAAGACTTTTTTTTTTTCTTAAGATGGAGTCTGGCTCTGTGGCCCAGGCGACAGTGGTGCAATCTTGGCTCACTGCAACCTCTGCCACCTGGTTTTCAAGCGATTCTCCTGCCTCAGCCTCTCAAGTAATTGGGATTACAGACATGCACTACCATGCCTGGTTACTTTTTTGCATTTTTAGTAGAGACAGTTGGCCAGACTGGTCTTAAACTCCTGACCTCAAGTAATCCACCTGCCTTGGCCTCCCAAAGTGCTGGGATTACAGGTATGAGCCACTATACCTGGCAGGATGGGAAAAGACTTCTTAAGACACACAAAGAATAAATCATTTTTAAAAGGATATATCTAAGTACATTAAAATTTAAATATTTTATCTGACAAATAACTTTTAAACAAAGCAAAAGTCCAAGACACAGACTGGAAGAATGCTGGAAGAATGCATTATATTAACTAAATAAGGATCAGTATCCACAACATATAAAGAGCTTCAACAAATCAATAACAAGACAGGTAACCCAAGAGAAAATAATGCACAAGGGACATAAACAGACAATTCCCAGAAAGAGAACATGAATGGCCACTAAATGTAAGATAATAGTTTCACGACTATGACAGTACAAAGCAAATAGTCACATGTCTGGAGCAGCCCTTCCAAGTGGCTTCACCTGGCGGTACCAGTGCTTCACCAGCAAGATCAGGTTCTTCAACTTGGCTGGGCGAATGTTCACAAAGTTCCTCCGCAGCTCTGTGAAGCAGGCTGCATGCTCGCCCGCTTGGCAGCCACTGTCGAGGAGGGCGGAGTAGACTCGTGGCTCGGGTTTGATGCCAGAGGTGACCTGACCTGTTGATATGAAGCACTGCGAGTTAGGAATGGTGCTAAGGACACAGGATGGAGGGTGGTGTTGGTGCCGAGCTCAGCCTGGGACGCTGAGAGAGAACAGGAAGAATTTGGAGGGGAAGAAATCTGGAAACATAGGAGTTGGGGGACAGGGAAGAGAGCCTGGAGCTTTTCAGGAAGCAGGGAAGAAGAGCAGTACTCCAGAATGCAGTGGGAGAGTTCCTCCATCCCAAATGGCCAGGCAGTACCTAGAGCACTAGCTCGAAGAGGAGCAGATGCCTTCCAAGATAGTAAAACAGGAAACATGCTTCCAGCTGAGTCAGCAGTACCTGCCGTCTGGCAATTCTCTCCTCCCTGAGCTCTCCTCAAAACACCACTCTACATACCCTTAATTAAAGGGTGCTATGGAGAGGAAAATGATGCCCAAGAAATAAAAGACAAAAAGTCCTGATCCTTTAGCAGTGGTTGTGATGGCTTTCACCTGTAATCCCAACGCTTTGGGAGGCCAAGGTGGGCAGTTCATCTGAGGTCAGGAGTTCAAGACCAGCCTGGCCAACATCGTGAAACTCTGACTCTACTAAAAATATACAAAAATTAGCCAGTCATGGTGGCACTCGCCTGTAATCCCAGCTACTCTGGAGGCCGAAGCCTCCAGCCTAGAGGACACAGCGAGACTCTCTCTCTGAAAATATACACATATATCTGAAAATACACACACACACACACACACACACACACACACACACACTTACTGCCTACTGGGTACCGGGTGGAAGGTTTTTACATGTATCTCCACCACAACCCTATGAAGCAAGTATAATTCTTCATCCCATTTGATAGCTGAGGAAGCTGAGGCACAGAGAAATTCCACGCTTTGCCCAAGGTTATACAGCCAGCACGCCATGCAGTCGGGATTTGAGCTCAGAGCCAGTGGACTTGACATTATGCGCCTTTTCCTCCACCACTCCCACAGGCATGGCTTGGGGGAACTAAACACTCTCCATAATTCCCTGAGGTTGCTGCTATCGCTTCCCTGCTGTGTGGCTTTGGGTGGGTCAATGTATGTTTCTGAGTCTGTTTCCCCATTAGTGAAATTAAAGCTAAAACAGTACAGACCTCACAGGTTTGTTGTGAATAATCAATGAGATAAAACATGTCAAGTTCTTGGAATAGTTAAGCATTTAACAGGTAGTAACTAGTAGGATTCATATATGTGTACCTAGGCTGGGTGTAGAGGTTCATGTCTGTAATCCCAGCGCTTTGGAAGGCTGAGGCGGGTGGATCATTTGAGCCCAGAAATTCAAGATGAGCCTAGGTAACATGGTGAAACCCTATCGCTACAAAAAATACAAAACTTAGCCAAACGTGGTGCGTGCCTGTAGTCCCAGCTACTTGGAAGGCTGAGATGGGAGGATTGCTTGAGCCCAGGATGGAGGCTGCTGTGAGCCAAGATCACACAACTACACTCTAGCCTGGGTGACAGAGTGAGACCCTTTCTTAAAAATGTGTCTGTGTGCAGTGGCTCACGCCTATAATCCCAGCACCTTGGGAGGCCGAGGCCAGTGGATTATGAGGTCAGGAGATTGAGACCATCCTGGCCAACACAGTGAAACCCTGTCTTTACTAAATATACAAAAATTAGCCAGGTATGGTGGCACCTGTAGCCCCAGCTACTTGGGGGGCTGAGGCAGGAGAATTGCTTGAACCCAGGAGGTAGAGGTTGCAGTGAGCTGAGATCACACCACTGCTCTCCATCACAAAAAAAAAAAAGAAAAGAAAAAGTGTGTATGTGTACCCAGTAAGTGGGTACACTTGGCATGGGATACCAGGCATAGGGGAATGCGGCTATCTGCTCAGAGGATAAAGCTATCCCCAGATCATCAAGGCAAATAATAATCATAACAATAATAGAAAGAACAATAGAAATAATAATTGCGAACACTCTACAGCCCTTATCACATGCTAGACCTTCCTGCCTTTTTTTTTTTTAAGAAGAGTCTTACTCTGTTGCTCAGGCAGATAGATTGCAGTGGCCAAATCATAGCTCGCTGTAGCCTCCACTGCCTGGGCTCCAGCAATTCTCCCACCTCAGCCTCCCCAGTAATGGGACCACAGGGAGGCATGCACTGCTACACCTGGCTGTTTTTTAAAATTATGTGTAGAGATTAGGTCTTGCTATTTTGCCAAGGCTGGTCTTGAACTCCTGGGCTCAAGCCATCCTCTCACCTTGGCCTCCCAAAGTGCTAAGATTATAGGCATGAGCCACTGCGCCTGGCCACGAGGCACACTTCCAAGTTTGTTACATATATTAATGCATTTAATTTTTCTGACAGCTCTATAACATTACCATTATCCCCACTGTCATCATCCTTATTTTACAGATGAGGACACAGAGGCACATTTTTAGTCTTAACCTGAGCATAGATAGGTATATTACGGAGACGAATGCAAAAATCACATTAATGTTTTCAAGATATAAGACAAGATTTTGCAGAATTCTGGTTTTGTCCCCAGACCCCAACTGCTAGCCACATGCCTACTTGGCTTAGCTTTTGGGAGTATTTGTGGAAGGGGTGAGCAGTAACCGCTCCAGGCGGTAGCTGAAGGAAACTCTAAGATGCCTGTGGGAGGACCAAGTGTCTTGATAGCTGGACCACAGATCCAGGATGATCTGGGCTTTCTCTGCCTTTGTCTAGCACAAATCTAATATGTTTAGGACACAGAGTGAGGCTGAGAGAGGGGTAGAGGCTGGCCTAGGTCACACAGCAACGGTGGCTGGGCTAGAATTGGAAGTCCTCTGCTATTCCCAATGATCTTGCCCCCAATCCTGGAATCATCCAGGAACCCCTCACCCAGGATATCGAAGGCAGGCACCAGGCTAACATCCATCCAGTCCTCAGGATCTCTGGATGTCAGGCGGAACTGCAGGGCCCCAGGCATATGCTGCTCAGGAAACTGGAGGCTCAGACCAGCGACTGGGTTCTGCCACCAGGATTCCAGCAATGTCCGCATTTCACTGAGGATGTCTGCACGAAGGGCCCTCTGGTCCTCATAGCTCTTGAAGCAGTCGAGGAAGATGACAAGTTCAGAATCGCAGCCACCCTTGAGAGCTGTGCCCCTGCCAGAGGAGCCTCCCTAGGCAAAGAAAGGTAACTCAGAATTCCATACGGTACAATTCTAGTGCCCTTGCAGCCTGGCAGGCAACTTGAGCGAGGTGAGCGTGCTGGTGAGAAACTGTGGCCATAAGGCTGTAGGCATCCAAGCCATGTGGGAATGTGGGTCCACGGTAGCCAGGTCTGAGATTTCAAGAGAAGCCATTTTAATATGTAAATCCATAGTTTTTCGTTTTTGTTTTTTCCATAGAAACAGGGTTTTGTTCTGTCACCCAGTCTGGAATGCAGTGCCATAATCATAGCTCACTGTGGCCTTGAACTCCTGGGCTTAAGCGATCCTCCTGCCTCAGCCTCTCAAGTAGTTGAGACTACTGGCACATGCCACCATGCCTGGCTAGGTTTTACATTTTTTTTTTTTTTTTTTTTTGAGACAGAGTCTTACTCTGTCACCCAGGCTGGAGTGCAATGGCACAATCTCGGCTCACTGTAACCTCAAGCTCCCGGGTTCAAGCAATTCTCCTGCCTCAGCCTCCCAAGTAGCTGGGATTACAGGTGCTTGCCACTATGCCCAGCTAATTTTTGTATTTTTAGTAGAGACAGGGTTTCACTATGTTGGTCAGGCTGGTCTCAAACTCCTGACCTCATGTGATCTGCCTGCCTTGGCCTCCCAAAATGCTGGGATTACAGGCATGGCCACCACGCCCAGTCTACATTTTTTTTTAAGAGATGGGATCTTCCTATGTTGCCCAGGCTGGAGTACAGTGGCTATTCACAGATATGATAGTAGCTCACTGCAGCTTGGAACTCCTGGGCTCCAGTGATCTTCCCACCTCAGCCTCCCAAGTATCTGAGGCTACAGGCATGCGCCACCATGCCAGGCTAAATCCATAATTTTTATTTTTATTTTTGAGACAGAGTCTTGCTCTGTCACCCAGGCTGGAGTGAGTGGCACGATCTCGGCTCATTGCAACCTCCACCTCATGAGTTCAAGTGATTCTCCCACCGCAACCTCCCAAGTAGCTGGGACTGCACGTGTGCGTCACCACTCACGCCCAGGTAATTTTTGTATTTTTAGTAGAGATAGGGTTTCACCATGTTGGCTAGGCTGGTCTGGAATTCCTGACCTCAGGCGATCTGCTCTCCTGAGCCTCCCAAAGTGCTGGGATTACAGGCATTAGCCACCGCAGCAGGCCTAAATCCATGATTTTTAAATGTTGGCAACTAACTTTTGAAAAACCCACGACCACAGGTAAAACAGATTCTGCTTTGCAGAACACATGCTCGCAATCTTTGCTCAGAACGGGCACAGAACTGCGGTATGACTGAATTTCCGAGACCTGTCTGGTCAGTGTTTCTTTTGGCAAAGCTTCCAGCCTGAGGATTTGGAAAGGAAACTCCTAAACATTGTAGGAGCCACCGCTCTGCATCTGAGATCTGCCATCTCTAATCTCACTTCCAACACGAAACAACTGTGATGTAGTTACATGTGGTTGCAGATATGGGCAATTATGTGCTCACTTTACAGAGGAGGGAATGAAAGTACAGGGAGATTGTGCCAGAGACCCCTCCTCTGCACCCCTTTCCAGGGAAGCTAAGGATGCCAGGGCTTTCTCTTGCTGCACAAAAATCCCTCCTGTCCATCTCTGAGGCTACAAGTCTCTCCTCCTCCTTCCCTACCTCCCAAGCTGAAAGTCAGCCCCAGCAAACCACCAGGTGCTCTGAGGCCATCTCTACTCTGTTTTCACTCCTCCCCTGACAACCTGCAAATCTGCTCTGTCACACCCAGGTTCCCTCGACCACTCCTGGCACCCCCAAATTTACCCTGAGGATAAGATAGTTCATGACTTGCCTCCTCCCTGAATCTGTGTGTGTCCTGGGGTAACAGTGGCATTGTGGCTGTATTTAAGTGACAAAAAGTGACTTGGAGTCTGGGCAACATGGTGAAATGCCATCTCTACAAAAAATGCAAAAATTACCTGGGTGTGGTGGCTCACACTTGTAATCCTAGCACTTTGAGAGACCGAGGCACTTTGGATCACTTGAGCACAGGAGTTCCAGACCAGCCTAGGCAACATGACAAAACTCTATCTCTACAAAAAATGCAAAAAATTAGCCGGGCATGGTAGTGTGCACCTATAGTCCCAGCTACTTGGGAGGCTGAGGTGGGAGGATCACTTGAGCCCATGAGGTGGAGGTTGCAGTGAGCCGAGATTGCACCACTGCACTCCAGCCTGGGTGACAGAGAAATACCCTGTCAAAAAAAAGGAAAAGAAAAGTGGCTCGGAGCAGTAGTTTAGCATCTAGCCTCAGTTTTCCTATCCACAAAACAGGTACAATAATACCTACCTCAATGAATGTGGGGATTAAGTGAGATAATACTCATTTAATGAGATAATTTTCATTGGTATTTGGTAATGTCTGAATAAATTGGGCTATTCTGGCTATTATGGAGTATTATTACTTCTGTGTCCTTAGGGTCTGGCATAGCCTGAGGCCCATGGTCTGTTTGAATGCCTGGGTGAATGAGTGAGTGAGTGGGTGAACGAACGGATGAGAGGCAGCCTCTGAGAGCCCAGATGCAGGAATCAGCCTACTTGGGTTTGAATCCTGGCTGGGCCTCTTACAGAACTGGACACGTCACTGTGCCTCACTGTGCCTCTCTCTGTGCCTCAGTTTCTCCATCTGTCAAGCAGGGGTTAAGAGTACCTACCTGGATGGTATGTTCAGGGCACTTAGCACAGGGCTGGCACATTGGAAGTATCTGGTAAAGAAATGAATGAGAAGCGCACATGCGGATAAAGCCACTCCCACGGTAAGACATTGTAAGGCTTAAGCGTCCTCCTAGGACTGTCCCCTTTGGACACATAAAGAGCCTGAGGTGGGACCTCACCTTGACGATTTTCAGCACTCGCGGGGCAGCGGCGCCAGGACGGCCTCCGCGCTCCCTCAGGGCAGCGGCCAGGGAGCCCAGGGCGCGCCGCGTCTTCTCCACGAACTCCTTCCGCGGCTGCAACCTGCTGGCCACGAACCGGTCCAGCGCGGTGGCCTGCGTGCCGTACACGTCCATGGCAGCCCGGCTCAGGTGCCAGAGAAAGCAAGGTCCCGCCGCGGCCTCTGGGTTTCGAGTTTCGTTTCCTTGCGCGGCTCTCCCCACCACGCCCAGCTCGCTGTCCCCCGGGGCGGGTGCTGCGCCGGGTCCTAGTTCCTCCGTCCCGCCCGCGCGGGGCGTGAAAGGGGGACGGACGCTGGACACCCTGCCTTCCCTAGCTTCCTCTCCTCCTCCCCGAAACTTGCGGAAATTCCCCGCTTTCAGTTTCGTTTCTTTCTAGCAGCTCTGGGACCTGGCTCCCATTTCCTAGTCCCCTTTCTAGCTATGACTTCTTCTCCTTCATCTCCCTGCTTCCGGCCGTCCCTGATCAGCTGTCCCTGCCCCCACCAGCTCCAACGAACTAATCACAACCGAACGAAATGTCCTGACAGCATCAAGTCCACAAAACATATGGGTATATATTGAGTAATGTACTCTGAGTATTTCAGAAACGTGCAAGTTTTACATGAAAAAACAAAGTCAGGATTTAATAAACGGAGAACTCCTACCTGCTCTCTGGCTGAGGGATGCGTTCTAAACACTGCTACCACCACCAGTGACAATAAGGTACACCTGGAGAATCTCACTTACTCCACCCAACAACCATGGTGTAGGTGCTACTATCATCACCCATTTGACAGATGGAGAAGTCAAGGTGCAGAGGAACTAGGTACCTGTTCACGGTAGCACAGCTGGAAAATTGGCCGGATTCAAACCCAGCCCAAGTCCACAGCACTGCCCTCTTCAGAAGCCAGCTCTTCCTAAATAATTTATACATGTAATGCAGTTCCAATAAAAATTCCATTTTTGAAAACTTCAAACACATGATTCTAAAGTCCGTCTGCAAGAATTAAAAATTATTTCGGAGAAGGGAGGAAGGAAAGTCAGTCAGTTTAGAATGGTACCTTGCAAAACAATACTGCATATTGAAACATTAAAAAGCTACGACAGGAAAATCCTCTTGGAAGGGGCACAAAGCTAAGCAACTGTAAGCTATAAACTGCAGAGTGGAGATGAGAATCCAGGGCCATTGCGCTTCTATCTTTATGGACTAACTCCTCCTTTTTCTGCTTATTTCCTGCTGCTTCTCCACCCAGGTTCCCAGAGACTGCACACCTGGGCTCCCTTCCAGGTCTGGCCCAAGCCATAGCCTATCTCCTTCCTCCCCATTTTATTAAAAATCTCACTAGTCCTCTGTCCTGTCTGCTCCAGGACCCAACGTTCACTCTAGCTCTGAATACATTTCAGGTAACAGTCTTAGCTAGTGCTTCCCAATTTCTGCACCTTCACTGAAAGGAAATAGGATCAGAGAGTGAATTTCAGAGGTCATGGTCAATGAGAGGGAGAGATGCTGGGTCTGTAGTATGTAAACACAGGTAATATTTTGAGGAGTGAATGCTGCATCACTTGGACTATTCAAGTATGGGCAGGAGACCATTTTGTAGGCCAGGTGTTGGGGCGGGGATTTAAGTCAAGGGATTCAGCAATGATTTCCATGCTTGCCCATTAATCACGATCTCCTTCCTGAGTCACAGGCCACTTTAGAAACTTTTCATTCAAGATGGTGATTGCATACACACTCAAGATCCTATTAAAATAGCAGCAAAGACATGTTAAAAGTATAATGGAAATCAACAGGGTTGGAAACTGAGTAAGAGCGCAGTCAAGGGACCAGGACGTTTGAGGCAGTTTCAGAAGATGAAACGCAGAAGTGTCAAGATTGGGTCAGGAAAGTGGACTGAACACATGCACAAGTCTTCGATGTCCATCCCAAGCCTCTAGAATGGCAGGAAAGAGATGGAAAAACTTTAATAAGGTTGCTGGGTTCTAAACAGAGGTGCCCTGGGTGAACTGGAAACTGAGATCCCTGAAAGAGATACGGGATTGGATGAAGGACATTGCAGCCAAAACACATAAAGAAGGGGGGCCCGTGCAGAGCGGAAAGGGCTCTGAGGAGCTGCAGGCTCCAGGGAGTGGATCTGAAGAGAGAAATTAAATAATAACAATGGTCTGTTATTGCTGCATGATAAAATAAAGTTTACTGTGTTGTACAGTGTTTAATATAATATCTCCTCCTCAGCTCTGCTTATGCAAAAATATTAAACTGCTTTCCTGCAAACCATGTAACCCTTATCTATCCTGCCCGCGTTCTTAACAAAGTTCCTGCTTTTCTTACTCTGGCTAGCTACAAGATCACAAAACAGATAGAAACTGCAGAATGTGTTTCTCAAGAATGTTACTTTTCAATGTAAAGTACGTCACAAGACGTTACACATTAATTAACTGTTCTTTGTTCTGGCTTCTGTAAACCTGTTAACTACTGCATCATCCTGAATGTATAAAAGGTACCCCATTTTCTTTGTCCTTTGCTCAGTTTTCAGATGCAAATCCACTGAGCCGGTGCACCTAAATAAGATCCTCCTGTTTCACCCATGGATCTCTCCGGTCTCCTGATATTCACAACAGATTGAAGGAGGAGAAGAGACCCTAGGTTAACTGTCCTGATTGTCAGTTGTGCTGGCATAGTAATGGCAGCCGCTAAGGACATGTGATCTCCCGCCCCAACCTTTCTGTGTTGAGTAATAGGAAGCGGAAGTGCCTGTCCTGGGAGGGAGCAGTGGGGATGGGGCAGAGAGGCAGGGAAGTGCCCAGCACAACTGACCACATCTGGAAAGAACAGGAAGCCCTGTGTGCAAAATACCTGTTCCTGGCACTTCCTCCTTCCTCACCTCTGACTCCAGCAGCAGTAAGAAAGTACTGACTTCACAGGGAGACAAGCAGAACATCCCCAGTGAGCAAAACGCACACATCCAAAGTTGCCAAATTATTTTAGGAGATTGAACACTATGAACATTAAAACTCACATGTAAGGACATTGAAATGATCAATAAAAGAGAAGGAGTTTTCTATGGTCTGAATTTGTCCCCCCAAATCTATGTGTTAGAAACTTAATCCCCAGTGCGGCATCTGGGAAATGGGCTCTAGCAGGAGCTGTTTGTGTCATGGGGGCTCTGCCCACGTGAATGGATTACGGCCTCTATGAAAAGGGCTTGCAGGGATAAGTTCATTCTGTTCTGCTTTTCTGCCATGTGAGGACATGGCGTTCCTCCCTCCACAAGCCACAGCATTCTTCAGCGTGCCATCTTGGAAGCATAGAGACCAGGCCTCAACCTGCTGAAGCCTTGATCTTGCACTTCTCAGTCTCCAGAACTATGACCAATACATTTCTGTTCCTTATAAATTACCCAGTCTGAGGCTTTCTGTTTTAGAAGTACGAATTGGACTAAGACAGTCTTAGAAATATATAAGTAACATCCTCAGAGGGATTGGATATTATATTCACTATAATTCTTCATTATATTCCTAATTATTCATCATATCCATGAAATAAGAACAGTTATGAAAATCAATAACCACCATCACATTGGAAGTGAAAAAATAATGCAAAATAAAACCAAAGAAGAACAGAAAAACCAAATCTTCTCCATAGATAGGCTGAATAAATACATCAGAAGATAAAACTGGTAAACTGGAAGATGGGAAACAGGACATAGAGAAAAAAGGTATAAAAGACCACTTATGAGCTGTGGAAGACAGAGCCATTCCTTATTCTTACAAATATTTATTGAGGCCGAGTGCAGTGGCTCATGCCTGTAATCCCAGCACTTTGGGAGGCCGAGGCAGGTGGCTCACTTGAGGTCAGCAGTTCGAGACCAGCCTGGCCAACATGGTGAAACCCCATCTCTACTAAAAATACAAAAATTAGCAGAGTGTGGTGGCAGGTGCTTGTAATCCCAGCTACTCAGGAGTCTGAGGCAGGAGAATCCCTTGAACCCAGGGGGCAGAGGTTGCAGTAAGCCAGTTCACATCATTGCACTCCAGGCTGGGTGACAAAAGTGAAATTCCGGCTCAAAAATAAATATTTATTTATTTATTGAGTGTATAGTAGACACCTGTCTAGCACAGAATACGTGTGGTGAATAAGTGAAAGACCCCTGTTCTCATGGAATTTATATTCTAACAAGAGAAGATGGACAACAAATTAATAAGCAAATAAATGAGAAAATGTCAGATTTATGGCTAGATAAAATTTTAGAGGAGTTTTTTGGAGGGTGTTTGCAATGAGAAGGCATATCTGAATAGGTCACCCCCAGTTGTGGGTGTAACAAAATGTCTTAGAATATCTGTTCCACATTCCGTTACTACTGTCAAACATATTCTTGGTTGATACAGCAGCAAATCATTTGCTGTTCTCCTTGGAAAACTATTGTTTGTTGCCTATATATAAAAAGTGACAGTACCCACCTATACTCCCTCTTGCCTGTCTGCTTAGGCTGACTCACTTATCACTCGGAAGAAATTGCTGCTGGTTTCTTTTTGAAAAATAATCTTTTTTTTTTTTCTTTTTTAGACAGAGTCTCGCTCTGTCACCCAGGCTGGAGTGCAACAGCACAATGATTCTCGGCTCACTACAACCTCTGCCTCCCGGGTTTAAGTGATTCTCCTGCCTCAGCCTCCCGAGGAGCTGGCATTACAGGCGTGTGTGCCACATGTCTGGCTAATTTTTGTATTTTTAGTAGAGACGGAGTTTCACCATGTTGGTCAGGCTGGTCTCGAACTCCTGAACTCAGGTGATCCACCGATCTTGGCCTCCCAAAGTGCTGGGATTACAGGTGTGAGCCATTGCACCTGGCAGAAAAAGAATCTTAGGTTGCATCAAAAGAATAAGAAGGATGCGTGGATGGATAGGAGGATGCAGAAGTTGAAGGTGTATAATGAAGCAAGTGCAGCAAAATGTTAACTGTAGAATCCACGTGGTGAGTATATGGGTGATGTTCACTGCGAAATTCTTTCAATGTGTCTGCTTGGAAATTTTTCTTAATAAAATGTTGGAAGAAACTGGTACACTATGGCACACAAGCTGCATCTGGTCCAGCCTCTGCTTGTTTTTGTACTTTTTTTTTTTTCAGACAGAGTCTTGCTCTGTAGCCCAGACTGGAGTATAGTGTCATGATCTTGCCTCACTGCAACCTCCACCTCCCCGGTTCAAGCGATTCTCCTGCCTCAGCCTCCCTAGTAGTTGGGATTACATGCGCTCACCACCACACTAGGCTAATTTTTGTATTTTTCATAGAGATGGGGTTTCAACATGTTGGCCAGGCTGATCTCGAACTCCTGACCTCAAGTAATCCACCTGTCTTGGCTTCCCAAAGTGTTGAGATTACACATGTGCGCCACTGCACCCAGCTGTTTTTGTACTTTTTAACGTGTTTAAATGGTTAAGGAAAAAAATC